CCCCTCCCCCCCCCCCCCCCCCCCCCCCCCCCCCAAAAAAAAAAAAAAAAAAAAAAAAAACCAACCCCCACTAAACCAAAAACACCAAAAAAAAACTGTACAGGTACTTTGCTACCTAATTGTTATTCTTGCAGCACAAACAGAGCCAGTGAACCCAGACGGCAAAGCAACTCAGAGTACATTCAAACCTTTCACTTAATACGGTATGGATCTTCTACTCATGCACTCTCTTTCACCACAACTACACACGATGTATGTGAATATGTTTTAAGATCACTGGAAAAAAACTACAGGAGTTTTTGTTATATGTTGTTGACTTTGTCCATGTAACATTGGCTTGAATTGTCATTGCCATTCTTTACACTCCTGTGCCTTATCATTGCTTATGTAATACTCAGGAGCTATATATAATGTTTCAGAATTTTTTGTATTGTGTTGAGGGCTCAAACACATTTGTTATTTATTCAGATTTTGGAAGCACCCTTTTTGTGGTCAACACATACAAAAATGATGGAATAGTGATTGGTTTTAGTCTTCATACAATGGCCACCAATGGAAGCAAACAACGTCAAGCTTCAACAGCTCCACCTCCTCGCACCCTTAATGTACAAAAGTTTGCAGAATCTCGAGCTTCCGAACTAGAGACTCTTCACTCCATTGTTGCAAATCGTTTAACTAATGATTTTCGGTTACGGAGGGACAAGAGGAGAAGAACGACGGGATATGACAATCGAGGCCTGAAGCATCGGTACAGAAAGAAACAGAAAGTAGGAGCCGTGGATGTGGGCAATGATGTCACTTTGGAGAAAAATAAGAAGGTATCTCGTCGCACTTGCCGAAGAATTGAACTTAGAAAGAATGAGGAGAGTGGTTTTTGTACATCTGGCGATGGGACTAAGAGGCTGAGAACACACCTGTGGCATGCAAAGCGATTTAGGATGACAAAGCTTTGGGGATTTCACCTTCCTCTTGGTTTGCATGGAAGGTAATGACCTCGTCTTGTAACTAAAAGAGTATAGAAAACTAATGGAAACTTTCAAGTTAGAAATTGGTTATTTGTCAAGCCTAAGGATCCAATTCATATGAAATATTACTGGAAAACACTTGTGCTGAAGATTTACTGACTAAGTTATATATTAACTTTGTATGTTTTTTATGCATATGAGCAGTAAATAATAAATACAAATTCTATTCACCGACTTCTGATGCATTTTTTTTATTAGAGGAAGAGGTTCAAGGGCTGTCTTGAAGTGTCTAAAGCACGGAGTGCTAGTGCATGACGCAAGCTACTGTTCTGCTGTCCAATTGGATGGTCGAGAGGCAGGCATTCCCTTGCTTTGTAACCTTCAAGAATTTTGATTTCAAATTTTATCTCACATTTCCATTTTTGCAATTATAGCAACTTGTTTGGGAAAACCATCTTTTGACCATGGAAGCATGTTCCTTTCTCAGTCATTGCGTGTGAATTCTTGATTTATGTCTCAAGGTTCCCAAAGATTGTCGGTGCTTGTATCTTTCTATGTTAAATTCTATAGCTCTGCTTGATTTTTATGTTATATGCTTCCAGGATTTGTTAATATCGGTTCTAAGCACAGTTCTAGTTCCTTCTCGAACAGAGCATTCCAAAGATATTTCCTATAAAGTACTTTCTGGTGTCATCTATGAAAGCGCTATGGTGGGTGACCAATATTTATGGTCTTATATGTAGCAAGGATGACATAACAATTTGGATATCAGATCTTTCTGAGTCTGTTTTTTTATAAATTCTTTGGCAGCTTCATCATGTTGGAGCACCTTTTTCTCAAGCCATTGCCCCGGTGATCTATATGTGGCGACCTTTTCATGGGCAATATACACGGGTTTATGCTGAAGGCAATGGCACTGATGGATGTGATGAGCTGCATGGCATTGACGGCTGTTCTTCCTTCCGCCAGGTTTGGATATGGATTCATGCTGCAGCCTTCATAGAAGGGTATAATGCTCTGACTTCCGCTTGTCAAAGGCAGGTAAGATATACAAATTTTTTGTCCTTTTCTTCATACTTGGGAATGTTATTATATTGGTTTTGACATTTTATCTGCGTTTACATCATACTTCTTGCTGACTATATGTGATAGTTCAAGGAAAACACATTATCTCAAATGTGATTGCTCTTGTTTTGAACTGCATATATGGTGTGCAAGAAATGTACATCATCATCACATATATTTCTATTTTGTAGTTTGTTTTTTTGGACTCATATATGTTGATAATTATGCAGTTCCTTTCTTTCAGATGGACAAAGCTGGTCTCTCAATCAAATGTATTCCACTTGAGGGACAACTTGCAAGATTAGAAGTTATGGGGTCAAGAGCAGTTCAGCTTCTTCGAAAGATATTACATCCTGTTACTCGGTGAGATGTTAAATGGTGGAACCCTGTATATACAATCCGAACTTTTAAGTTAAATGTACGTTGTTGATTGGCTTTGCAGTTCAGATACTTCTTGGCAATTGAATAAATGTTCAGTTATTAAAACTGACAGTGAAATTCAATTTAAGAATTCTTCTGTCCTGGGGAATGAAGATGTCATCCCTTCTTCTGCAGTAATTTCCCTTACAGTCAATGATCCTCGTACTTTGACTGAGGAAGGGGTTGCAGCTATACCAGAAGCAATGTCTACTGGTATACTGGAAAATGTGCCAGAAGATGAAGTTAAAGAGCATACAACCTTTGCAGGGATTCCACAAATGAACAAGGGGTTAGCTAAATCATTATACTCGAAACCTGAAGAAAGCAGTGATCTGCCTTTCTCTATCGATTTGTGGGACGCCAGCAAAGGGATATGTCCTCCGATCGAAGAAAGTGTTCTTTGTATGGAAAAACATCATCAGCGCATGACTGTATTCTGCCTTGGCGATAAAAGTTCAAAGGCACGAAATGCTCCAGTTAAGGGGAACTGTTCTAAACTGTGCCCCATTCTGCTTTTAAAAGATTATGACAAGGGCTCAATAACGAGGTAACTTCGTCTGCAATTTGCTTACAGACAGGAAAATTTATGTATACATGAATTCTTTAATTTAGATTTGTTAGATTCATATTAGTTGGTTTTCAATTTTGTGCTGTCAAAGTTCTATACCATTTTTGAGTTTGATGTAAATTCTTTGACGTATATGGTGATTGTAAGTTTTTGTGGCAAACAAGGCTCAGGATTTGGAAAAGTTTAATATGTCAGACCATCTATTTTTTTTTTTTTTGAAGTTTTCAGACCATCTTTTAACTCTTGTTGCATTTTTTCTTGGAAACAAGGATTGGTCGTATCTTCTCCTTAATCAAAGAAAATGATGAACAAGAAATGCATTATATAAACCTTAAGGATCCATGGTCACTTTTTCATCTGTGGGCACCTTTGTGTCATCATATTCCATGTTTCTTAAAAAGCTTCTTTCGTGAAAATTTGAGCTGAAAATTTTTATGCGTATTTTAACGTCGTGAGAAGAAGTATGTGGGGGCATCTTGATTTGATCAAACCTTTACTAAAGTGGTTCATGCGATATTTTGCGACACTTTTTTAGGAGGAAGCAATCTGACTTTGTGTTTCAACCATAACCTAGTAGATTAGACAGGTGTTAACATTTGGGTAATACCTTTTTAAAAGGCCTTGTACATTCCTTTTTACACATACATGCAGAATAAATTTTTTGAATAGTGTCAAAGTAACATAGAACTGTTTTGGAAATTTTGCTAGATGGTCTATTATACTCCCTTTAACTTGGGTAAAAGCCTTTTGGGTTCCTTTCGTCTCCAGTGGTGCTCATGCAATAGGTTTGAGAGAGAAGCATTGGATCACATGTGAAGTAAGTATATGCACCTACCTTGGTTGGAACTAAGTGAGGTCATTGAATTTTGCAGTTATAGTTTTTTGCCCTTGCAGGTTGGGTTGCCATATTTTCCTTCAGACTTTCCTGATTGCGGTGCATATTCCAGTTTTATGGAAGATGAAGCAGCTGCCTCTCATCAAAAAGCAAAACTTCGTCCTCCTTCCATGAGGCCTTCAAAAGTTTCTATTCCACCTCCATGGGATAGTGTCCAGTTTGCTTTTGATGAAAAATTCATTGGAGCAGGAGATGATCAAATGCTTCCTGAAAAGCCATATCAGCAGAATATGGTCAGTGACAACTCATTGCCACAGTCTGGCTGTGAAAACGGTGACATGGTAACACCTGCTAGTCACAGTGTTCCATTTGGGGGAGTTGTGGCAAGGACATCCTCTATGCTAACTGATTTTTTGAAAGATATCAATGGTGATCATCTGCTTCTATTTCCGAATATGGCTGAAGGAGGAAAATGTATTTCTAAATTTATGAATGCTGAAAGAACGGTTAGGCCCAATGGTGCCATCTCCTTAATTAGTTATGGTAAAAGAATATGTTTCATTAGAGTTCTTCTCCATGCTTACAAGGAAGGGGTTTTTGAAGAGGGAGCAGTGGTTTGTGCACCTCATTTTACTGATATAAAGTTGTGGACATCCAGGTGGTTATTCCTCTGGAACTATTTCCCCAGAAATTGTAACTTGTTTATTTACTTATTTGTTTTGGAGATGGTGACGTGAGAAAGGATGCAACCATATAACCCATTGGACAAAGTTGCCTCTTTTTTATGTAAACGTCATGTTCTGTCTTGGGGTTTTGCCGGGTGACGTGAGAAAGGAAGGAGAAGGGAGAGGGGGGGGGGTGTTTGAACTTGAATTAGTTGGTTCATGGAGCTTAGATGTTATTTTCACTTGGACATGCATGTAATCATATTTATGTATGAGAAAACTTGTCAATTGGGATCTTCTTTACTTTCACACTGTTTGCATGTTTTACCTCAATCTTGATTTATAAGATGATAATATTCCTACTTCTCTTATAGTTTCTTTGGTATCTTTTGAATGAGCTTTAGTGAAATATTATATGATCTTGATAAAATAAACACTGGTAACAAAAAGAAACTGCAGACTTGGTGCTTGGTAAGCATTACATGCCTAGACTACCATGCTTCTTAAAGGAGTTCATCATCTCTGATATAATTATTTCTCCATTATATGTGCATGCATACACATATGTGTATGTATATAACAATGTTTGATATTTAGAACTGCTGCATGTGCCCCTACTAAACCACCTTCTTGTGAAACTATGCAGCTCAGAGAAGGATGATGGAAAACTTCAAATTCCTCAGTCTTTGTTGGGATCATTCTTCATACAATCACCATCTGGTAAATGGGAACTTAAAATACCTGACGACCCTGCAGCAAGAGAGTCTCATAGGTGGCCGCTCGGTTTTGTCACTACTGGTTTTGTTCGAGGAAGGTTAGTTTTTATTCTGCTACATACATAATACATTACAGCGTTCTCAATCTTTAGCATTATGATGACTATAGGATCTCAAAAGGGTAGTTCTATAACCTATAGATTTTACACTTTTTTCTTTGATCCTAATTTGTACGTGTTGGATTTTGTATCTCGGACATGCAGCAAGAAACCAGTGGCAGGGGCTCTGTGTGAGGCATACTTACTTGCTCGTCTTAGACAAGAGCAGTGGGATGCAGTGCCTGTGAAGCGGCGGAGGAAGGAGATATATGTTCTGGTCAGGAATTTGAGATCAACAGCCTATAGACTTGCTCTTGCCAGCATAGTCCTTGAGCAACAGGAAGAAGATTTGGAGTATATGTGATGTTCTTCCTATGTATAAAAGCACCTGGCAGAAATTTTTGTTAGCGTTTTTCTTTTTTCATTGTATATGGTTATTAGATTTCAGTCTACATCTATTGGTTTTGAAAGAGTACGTGATAGATAGTCTTAATCCTATTTTTGGAGAGGCTGATTCGTGGCTCAGACCCACGACATATTTCTTGGATGATGAGCACTTGACAGCGCGTTGTGGCCTGATAATGTTGTTACTCCCAAATTTTGGTGGATAGTCAGAGAATTAGAGACACTGTCCTGCAACAATATATTTATTTTATTTAATGTGATTCAGTTTTGTTTCTGTTTAGCAATATGACTGAGCCATATGTTTTTCAAAAATAATTGACAATAATTGGATCCAAATGTTTTGGAGCAATGCAGGAACTCTATCACTGTTATATTTTTATTTATCTAGTCATAGAAAATGAAAGCACTTGAAAAAATCTCTGCATTTTTTTTTTGCTGAACCAGTAATCGGTGTGTTGATTCATCACTTTTACATGCCAACCTGTTTTTAGGTCAAAATCTCACCGAGATGTTAGATTATCTGAATGGTACGAATTGTTGGAGAACTATAGCTAGTCCTTGTTGATGGTAGTTCTTTTAATTCTTTTTGCTTGCATGCTTAGTAGTTGCTGTAATTTTTTGTCTGGTGCACTTGTTGATACTGAATAATAACTTACCTGATATATGCTTAGCTCTCTCTTCCTCTGCTATTAAGTGTTCATAGGTTGTGCTGATAACGAAGATTAGTTAAGTTTAACTTATCATTGTCCATGCATGTGTTTGTATAACTGTGTATCGTATGATCTTGATATATTTAAATTTTGAAGCAGTGTTTGTGTATAACTATCATTAATTCCATGACCTTTGTCTGTATCTGTACCTTTATGTGCCACAGTGGGGATGCTTATGCAGATCCGAAGAAATCTGATACCCCCAGATATGCTGTAAGCCTTCCTCATACACGGGTTAAATTAGTAGCTTTGCAACCTTTAAACTTGAAAGCTGAAGTTTCAAACTAAATTCTTTAATTTTTGGTAATGTGCTTTGGGAATTCATTTTTCTATTAGTATTTTAGTGTATCCTGCAAGTTTTATGTAAACTAATATATGATACAGAGTTGCTGTGTTTTTTAGTGAAGTGCTGCTCGGTTCTCCTTTTTGCTGCTTGTTTTTCAACAATGTCAGTCCCCCCCCCCCCCCCCCCCTCCTCTCTTTCTCTCTCTCTCTCTCTCAGCAGGTTCTTAATACCTTTTTTTTTTTTGGGGGAGGGAGAAGGGAGGGGGGACTTGAACTCTTGACCTCAAGAAAATAAAGTCTTCTTAAGGTAAGAAATACCATTGGACCAAAGGCCAATTGGTAGGTTCTTAATACCTCAAAAGGCTTAATACAGTGGAACTTTACAAGGAATGTTCTCCTTAAAATGTTGACAAATATATTGGCTCATGGTCAGTATTGGGCTTGGTTGCTGTGGAGTTTTGGAAAAGCTGTTCATTCAGCTGACTTTGTTGGCTGTTCTCATCCTCCATTTGCTGCACTGTATTCAGTTTTTCTTCAATCATGCTGCGAAGATTTTTAAAATTCATTAGTTAGCACATATGAATCAGCCATCAAATGGGGAGTAATTCTTTGATTCTCTTTGTAATTTTCCAGATTGTCTTCTTATAGTTCAGAATTCATGAAGCTTTTGATCCTCAAGCTCTACCTGTTGCTAACACAAATAGAAGTATAATTTCTTCTTGTTTTGATGAATTCCCTCTGGTTTTTATGAATTTATTAGCAAATAAGATCTCATTATAAAGAGCTCCTATTTCTGACATTTTGGTAGTTATTAGTTTATATTTTAATGTTTCAAGTAGTTTGGTTTATGTTGCCTTTCATTTATGCAGCATGATAGAAATTGACAATATGACAAAAGTAGAAGTCCACTAGAACCTAGAAGTGAGAACGATGATAGTGTTCATTGTTGATTTTGTTTGCAATTGTATACTCAGGATAAAAGTTGATGCTTATCTATGTACATAGTTGATTTATTACTAACTACATTAACAACTTTTGGCCCAGAAGTTGTTCGCATCTTTCTATGCTTTTGCATTGTGTCTACTCTGTTTCCCCCTGCAATATTGCAGATTAAAGTGAGACATGCAATTGTTAGTATCACATAGAAGAACCTGAAGTACATTGATTTTGCAGTCATAAGGGGCATTTTTTTTTTCCTTTTTGAATTTGCTCAGAAGGGGCATCTCGGGGGATGTTTTTTGCACCCTGTATTTGTAATTCAAGGAGATGATTCTGAAACGCATGGATCTATGGAAGATTTGACTTGAAGAGGAAAGCTTTACAGCCAACTTCGTACAAGGTTTATTCCTCTCCCATACTTTCTTTCCAAGGTTATATTGTGTCCCAATAAACTTTTGATGGGATTTGGTTCTTGTTTTCTCCTGGTTACTGAATCTTGTGTTTTTTTATCCAAATGTGCAGCATGGGGCTTTTAACCTTGGTACGCACTCCTCAGGCAAAACATGACAGAAAGACCTAGCTTTTTATTATGACTGTGCCGATGCCAGATCGAAATGAGGAGCTTCATGCGTTTTGGTGGGTCATTAAAGGAGAATATGTTCAGGTGATTAATAGCTTTGTTGCGCTCTTTTTTCCTCTCTGGTAGTGATAAAATCTTCAGTAGATTTGGCTGCATAACTGCAATTCAATTAAGAATTAGTGACTTTTGAGCAAATGAACTACCATCATGGTTACTCGTCTGGTCCCTATCATCAGCATTTATGGGAGTTTCTATTGGAAATCCTAGGATAGGATCCATTGATTGAGAAACCCAATTGTAGTGACAAAGCTTTAAGAAACCCTGAAGTAGGACGGCCTAATTTTATGCTGACCGTAGAGCTAACATGGACTCTATGAAGGCTGCCTTATAGAGCCTCTATCTGACATTAATATGAGCTTGCTGATTACAATTCCGGAAAAAAAAGCTGAAAGTGACATGTCGTGGATTTAAGTTTTTAACATTATGAACTCTATTGTTCTTCAATTTTAGTTTGTATTCTCTCATACTTGCTCTTCCCCAAACAAAATCATGCTTATTTGATCAAAAGAAAGATTTGTTGTGCTTTTGATTGCATCCCTGTTTTTCACTGCAAGATTTTATTTTCAGGAATGCTTTGGGTGCAAAATGCATCGTCTTACAATGTGCTATCTGGGAAATTGAAAAGGTGGACACATGAAAATTAGCAGTTCTTTCTTTTGGCAACACTATTTTGCCCAGGTAAATATGGTGTGGTCAAAAGATGACAAACACCATGTTCAGTGGCCAAATCAAATCTTTTTGTTCTTAGTCTTCCTCTCTCAGTGACCGAGCTAGTTTTCACTTCCTTCAGTCCCCGGGCTTGTTACGTTAACGACTTTACTCGTTGGTCCTCATATGTCTTCAAATCCAGCATGACCTAAATTTCCAATAGAAATCATCAGTGTGACATTGAAACAGATGATGAGGCGGCCTAGTTCTGTCTATTGTATGGTTTCCCTACATTCTATCCGTAGATTTGAGTCTGCCTTGCTTTATCAAAGTTTTCTATGGTTTCCCTACCTCTGACGGTCTAGGAGATGTGGTTAAGCAAGCGTTCAACAGAAAATATGTTGCTTTTCAGCCTCTGGCTACATGACAAAAATTGTCATCCGTGTTCATACTAAAAAGGGCTTATTGTATGCCTTTTTTTTTTGATTCCTTTAAACTCCTCCGTAGAATATATGTAACCTAGTTTCTTGCTATTTCGAGAATGTTATGCCCATCCGCTGTGGTTACAGTTCTGCTTTTTCCTCGCCCCGTCTCTGTTGGTAATTTCTTTCTTTGCAACTAACGAACTATTATTTGTTACATTCAAATTAGAAATAATCTATTTTTGGTTCGGTCGCTGCCCCCCTCCTGCACAGCTTAGAGGTTCACAAGCCAAAAAAACAAAGGGTTTTTTTTTTCCGGGTTGTTGGGGGGGGTGGATCCAGCCGGTTTGAAATATATAGTGTGTTAATCCTTTTATCAACCCTTGCAAATTGTTCATCGGTGTTTAAAACCAAAATAAATAGAATATGAACTTTGTAAGGGACTAATACACCCCCGAAACAATTTTATTATTTCATTTCAAAACACTCCAAAACAACCCCCTACTCATAAACAGAAGGAAACTTACAGGGCATGTGTAGAGAGATACAGAAAAGATCAAATAAAAAGTTGACCTACAAGATAAAAGTTACTATTCACGTACAAGCAGACCATTCTCTGTAGAACTAACGGTCCCAACCAGAGGGCCTCCGCCTTTCACGAGGCCTTTCTCTAGAAATTCAGAAACATCAAAACATAACAAAATTAGCATACAAATTTAGATGAGAAATATTTCTATCAAATGATCAACCGAAACAAGTTACCTTTCTGAGTTCTTCTGACTACCATTGTTTGTGTTCTTGGTAAAGGTGCTTCCATCTGATATAGGAGCAGAATTTAATGAACTCGTTGCCTGAGGAAGTTTCATATTTCCACCTATTGTACCGCCAGACACAAAGCCAGCTAAAACCATTCTGTTGCTGGCACCTGGATTGTTATTTATGCCCTGATTTTGAGAATTGGATGAAGCAGCAACAAAATTGCTTTTGAACTGCGACATCATTCCCTTCCTCAGTGAATTAACAGCTGCAGGCCGACTTGAAACAGCATTTGATGAAGTATTGTTGGATTCCGGATTATATCCGATACCCAAACCAAAGTCCACACCACGCACACCTCGACCACTGCCTCCCCTTCCTTTGGCCCTTTTCCCGCCTGCACATGCATTAAACAGCATGTAAAAAGTTTGGCAGTTTTCTCTAAACCAATGACAAAAGGGGTTGTTCATTCAATGATTAAAACATGCAAGTTCATTCTCAGGCATTCAACACCAGATTGCTTAAGCAACTGGAGAGAACTGATGCACGTGTAACAACAAGATGAAGTCATACCTCCTTTTCTTGATTCCCGTTTGGATCTGAACCTCCCATCCTAATAATTTACAAGGTAAAAGTCATTCAATCACTGTAACAGATGTGCACCAAATCTGAGAACTCCCACACGCGTAACTTACAAAAAAGAAAAGGAAGGGCCACGTAGATATTCTAAACATTAAACATTGCCATACTAAACAGCTATAAGACAAATATCACACAAAGAAATTACTGTTAAGAGTTAGTATACAACTGTTGGCCAATGAAATGTTTTACATATTTTTCTTGTACAATTTCAGCATAGAATTCTGTGAAAATTCCTCATTGGTCACATGAACAATTAGAATAGCATTCTCTTACGGTTGAATTTTTTTAATGATAGACCATGAACTAAAGATTTTACAGTTAAAAACTTCTTTGTAAAATAAGTCCGTTCTAAGTCTAAATGAATTACAACCTGATACCACAAGATGGGCAATTCAAAAACACTTTTTTCAAACGATGTGCTAAAATGATGATTTTGAGATGAACAAGGGGCAATTGAATACTCCTCCTTACCCCAACCCCAAAAACAAAATTAAAGATAAATTGACAGCGTAGTAAGAAGACATAGCAACAAATAAAAACAAGATGAGAGCAAAATATCTTAGGTTTCCCAAGAGCAGCAAAAACCAAATGGAGGTTCTGAATGGAGGAGTAACTGGATCTAAGTTGAAGTTACCTAATGGACAAGGGGATGGTTAAATAAATGTCGAGTGATACAAATGATTGCCAAGGATCTAGCAGATGGAAGAAATATGGAGGGTCGAGTTAAGAAAAAGATGATTGACATGGTACATACACTTATAAACCTATTTTATTTTATACAAGTACACAAACCATACTGCAGACATCATATTACAAGAGCTGTTGTTACAGATGTCAGAGGTCCAGTGTAACAACCTGCTTTTATATTGTACAATCCACATAGCACACAAAATTCTAGATAGTTCCCCCGTCTTCCCCATTTAATGGACTAAAATTTTGAACTCAATAACATTATCTAAATAAAAATATCTGATCGAAATCATCATTGATGGAAATGGAAGCCTGAACGAATCGGCATAGACAAAGACCGCAGATCCCGTATCCTCTAAGATACACACAACGAAAATTATGTGGAGGTGCAGTAGAAAGCCCGTGTGAATGACCATTACAAAGGCCAAAAATAACAAAAACATATAATAAAGTAAAATAAAAAAGAGTTCATGCAAAATTACCTTCATAGCAAGATCCATCAGTTCCGCAGACACGTTCTGACCAGCAGCAACCAAACTGTTAACCAATTCACCCGCAAACCTTGCCTCTTTCTGGGTGATCAGAGTGTATGCAGTTCCGTCTTTGTCACCAGCACGACCTGTTCTTCCAATTCGATGGACATGCATATCCATGTCTCTAGCTATATCAAAGTTGACCACTGACTTAATTGACTTGATATCAAGACCACGAGCAGCAACGTCAGTTGCAACAAGAACATGGTATGTTCCAGACTTGAATTTTTTCAATGTTTCCATACGAGAAGCCTGATCTTTGTCACCATGAAGAGCTGCAACTTTAAACCCCTTCTGAGTAAGCTGTGATTCAATCTCATCCACTGTGGCTTTTTTCGAAGCAAAAACTAGAACATCACCGTCATCGATCAGTCCAGGTAGCTTTTCATGAAGCCAAGCCAACTTCTCAGCGTCTGAAGGAATTACTTGAACAACTTGAGTAATATCCTCATTGGCCATTCCAACCTCCCCCACAGTAACTCTTACAGGATCACTGAGAATTTCCCTAGCAAGCTTTTCAACTTTGCGGGGCATTGTTGCTGAAAAGAGTAATGTTTGGCGATCTGGCCGAATCTGCCCCACAATAGACCTTATTTGTGGCTCAAATCCAAGGTCAAACATCCTATCAGCCTCATCAAGTACCAAGTAAGTTGCTCTCAACATCGTTAGTGCCTTCATTTTTAGCATGTCTATCAACCTCCCAGGAGTAGCAACAACAATCTCACATCCTGCCTTCAATTCTTTGAATTGATCAAGCTTGGACATTCCGCCATAAACTGCAGAGACACGTATCCCATGTGATTTTGCAAATTTCTTTGCCTCCAAATATATCTGATGCGCTAATTCTCTTGTAGGTGCACATATAACCCCGATAGGACCCTCTTCTTTCTCAAGTTCAGGTTGATCCATAATATGGACAATCAAAGGAAGCACAAATGCAGCAGTTTTTCCTGAACCAGTTTTCGCTATACCAATTATATCTCTCCCAGAAAGCACAGTTGGTAAAGACTGGCTCTGTATTGGCGTAGGCTTTTCATATGCTTGTTTAGTGATAGCTTTCATTAGCTCCACAGAAAATCCACAGTCTTCAAATGTCTTAACTGGCCTTGGAACATCAAAACCTGATACACGAATGGCCAAGCTCTGCCTGTACTCGGAAACATCATGCTCACCCATGCCTGGATAAAGGAAAATAATTAATTTAGAGTTGAATTTGAATCCAGAGTTAACTCAAGAAAAGGTATAGACAAAGACAAAATAGTAATAAGTAACAAATTATACAGCTCAGGTTCAAGCCCTCATTAAACAAATTGGTATGTTATGGAGCAGTTATGCAATCAGGTGCAATCAAATGCATGCTTCTCAATTCACTTACAGGACAAGATTGCAATCTATTAACTCATGTCAACTCTACATGCATGATGAAAGATTGAAAACGAATGACAGAGATTCTATCACATTGTTTTGAGTGGCATGTTAATGTTCAGAACTCATAAGAGTAGACCAATCGTAGCAATGACACAAAGTAATGCTATATATACAGTCCAAGCCCCACAACTGGATTAAGCTTTGTTGTTTCATGGACACAAACACGTTAGGAAGCAAGCTTTATCACGGCCAGGAGAATAAACACCTTGTTCATAGACTATAAAAAATGGTCTTCTCATGCTTTGCCCTAACGCACGCCCATGGAATCTATCGCTCTTCACACAAGCCTCCTCACCCAATTTTTGTAGCAAGTCATCGGCACAATAGATTTTCTGATTAGCTGCAATCAATTAGAATCCCTACACATAAGCTTTCAAATAAGAAGTTTTAAAACTGGCTCAACTTAAAAGCAGACCCATTTTTGTGTATCACAGTAGAATTTCAATTGTAGTAGAGTCCTTTTTATGTCCATTTTCTAGTAAGAATGCTGCTAGTTTGTTTAATTTAATATCTGCATTGCTCTTTGTATAACATCGGAAGGCATTCGAATCCGGAAGATTCTAATTGACCACACAATTAAACCTCTGTTTTTTACTTTTTTCGTTGCTATTTGCTTGCTTCTATAACATGACATTTAGTAACTATGATTGTGTGATATAAGTCAAAAAAAACATATGATGCCACGTGAAATCCAAATTTGATACTTGCATTCTTCTCCGGCATCTTTTTCTTCCCCTCTTTTCTTTAGTTCCCAATATAAGAGCTCTGCTAATTCTAAATTTTCCTACCTCATGAAAAAATCAAAACCAATCTCTAATGCTCAGAGGAACTCATCCAAATTACTTAGTGATTGAAACCATGGAAAATTTCATGAAATGGCTGAAGTAAAACAATCCTCTGACCAATCTAGCTCAAATTCAATGAATCAACTATTAATCTCAAAGTTGCTAATGAGTTCGAATATCAAGACATAGTAACATGCATTGAGTATTGGATCAAACCATATGCAAACCCAATTCTCTACATAAATTATTTCTGACTATGTTGTTGATGCAAAACTTATATTTTCTGCTTGTTGCAACTGAGTTCTTTGCTTCAATGCTACAAGATGGGTCAGTTCTTCTTCAATGTCAATGCATTAACTCTGCCAACGGTGCAAGGTATTTCGACAAACTGTACACATCTTCACTTAAGATTTAGATTGCTGTCCTAAAATTTTCTTGGCATTTTATAGCACCATTCTGATAACATATAAATGAATGTATCGTACATGCACAAACTTCATGATGTAGATCAGGATGGTTCTGATACCAATTGATCCCCATCACTTCATCCTACAAGTCATACTTGTGACTCATGAGGTAGATTTGGATAAACAAATCATCACCTGCTTAAGATGTGATCAACTTCATTTGACAAACACATATCCTAATTTTCTTTGAGTTGATATTCTGTGTCAGTGAACTGGTTCTTTAAAGCGTCTTGAGACATGAAAGAGAAGTCACAAAATCTAAGACAACAGATAAAACATGTAAATTAGCAGATCAAGTTTTGGTTCTTATCGACCAAAAAACATAATATCAGAAAGAAAAATATGATAGCAGCAAATTCATCTCAACAATAACACTAGCTAACATGCCACTTCATGTTAAATGGCAAGTATCATTAATATGTATAGATTTAATTTTACCTGATATTGAAGGTTGTTCCTCATAGAAATCCTTATTAAAAGGCTCGTAGTCAATGGAACTATGATCCAACGCCGGAATAGGCTCAATCTTCTTCTTATCAAGAACAATCGGATTATCATCCGAATCATACTCAAGCAATCCCGCATCCACCGCCTTCGCTGCTGCATAGACTTCCTCATCCGAATCATAACCAGCATGAAGAGCATCCGAAGCCAATGTCAACCCTACATCTTTCTTCGCTCTTAAAAAACTCTCCATCGGATCATCCTCTTCGTCGTCAATATACTTCTCCAACTTCTCGTTGACCTTGGGAGGTGGCGCCGCCTTCATCTCCTCCTGAATCCCCTCCATAAATGCATCAAGAGGGTCAATTTCACCATTGTCACCGTCAGCGTCAGCGCCACCGCTGCCGTTATTATTATCGGCGTCGTTGGAATTGTCACGGTCGTCGTACTCGATGTTGTCTAAGTCGGTGTCTTCGTAATGGTCGTGGCCACTGGAGCGGGAGGAAGGTGGAACGTAGAGTCTCTGTGGAGCTTGTGATCGCTCGAAGTTGTATGTGGCTTGGCGATTGATGCCGAAGCCTTCAAATCCGAACTTTCTCTTCGACATTTGGGGCTGATTTAGGAGACAGAAAAATGGAACCCTAAATTGATATTTGTATACTTCTGATTAGACCGTTGGATAAACCCTAATTCGACTCTTCACTATTGGTTATCGAGAAGATAATCGCGTACTCTGCCTTTTTTAAAAGTCGCTGACCACTCATTTTCATGCCAAATCCCCTCCCTCGCCAACGTAATAGCTTCCTTCACCCAAAAAACACACAAAGGGCATAAATGAAAAAGTTGCCTATGCCTTTTAAATGATATCAATCCAAACTCTAAATTTTTAATAATTATTTTTTTTTAAAAATGGTAAGGCTTTACCTCCTCCTCATCCACTTTAATTTTGGTTATGATTTAAATCATTGCTTCGATGAGATTTTTAATTAAAAAATGTGTTAAATTATTGTGTGAATTTTTTTGAGCAAATATTCTAATGCAAATCTCGAAAGAAAAGGAGGCATGTGTTGAGGGGGCACTGTGACAATGACCTTTTTCTTTTCATTGTACACTAACCCACCCTCAAGTCTAAAATGTTATATTTATCAATTAATATTTGAAACATTTGTCATAAGGTTTCGTACAAATGCAGTCAAGATGGCTGGCAGGCAGGTAAGCACAACTAAATGTGTCATTTTGGTGGATAATTTCATACAATTATTATTGATTAAAAATACAGGGAAGTTTTGTCAAGAAAACCATTAGTTAAAAGGAACTCATTTGATGTTCTATTATTTCTGATGAGTAGTAGAAAGAAAAATTGGAGAGAATAATAGTCAATCTCCAATCTTTTCCATACTTATTGGAATAGATATTAAAAACAAGGTCTGCAAGGAAATAAATGTAGTAGTTTCCAAGGCAACGAAGAAGAACGTATAAGGAATGAGAATGCCGATGCAAAAAAAATATTAGGCGCAGCAATCATTATACTATCTCATCATTGTATTAATATGGTATAATCGTTTACATATTCTACTAATTATATCTTATTTTGTCATTTAATAACCACTTAAACGGAATTCACTATTTACAAGTTTATTATTAAAGGATGATACATACAATATTTTTATTAACAAGTAATATCACCCTACACCCAATTATTTCATGCTAATGTGAGCGGTAGATGCTTAGCGTCTTAAACTGCGCTCATAATTGCAGGAGGAGGGAAATAAAACCGAAAGGAGAGAGGGAAACGCTAGAGAGAGAAAGAAAGAGAGGGCGGGACTGACTCAGTCGCGTCACCGAGGCAACAAGGGTCACTCAAAAAATCAGCGTGTGTGTGTCTCTGTGTGTTAATAAGAAAATAGATGGAGAGGATTGGGAGTCATCTTTGCCTTTGCCACTACGCTCATTCTCATACCCACTCCAAAATCTCTAAACCCTAACCCAAGTATACATATCTTTCTCTTTCTTCGTACCGATCCAGTCTCTCACTCGATAATATTGTGTCTCCCACTTTATCTCCTTTTCTCTTAACTATGTCTTCCCCTCATTGGTTTCTCTTGGCTGACAAGGTTTTCAATTCCTTTTCACTGTAGACGCCTGGTTTTGGAATTGTCTTCAATCCGCAAGGTATGTATGCATGTAGTTTTTCTCTCTCTTGTCTCTTTATTAATTTCCGGGTTTTCTTTGTGTATATGCTGTGTTGGGCAAGTTTTGGTATCTAGGGTTCTATGCATTAGTGGCGATCGATGAGTTTGTGTTGGTGTATGTTTTCTTTCTTTATTTTTTTTCCTTCTGGTTGTGATGTTGGAGGATGGGTGTGTCTTTATGTTGGTTTGATGCTTTGGCTTAAGTGGGTTTTGGGTGAGAGTATTTGAGCGTAATTTATGATTTGTTATACTATTCGGTTGATAGATTGCCGAATGTGATACATTTTCGTTGGTCTTTATGGATTCCTTCTATTTTTGGGTAGTTTTAAATAAATGTTTGATTTTTTGGAACTTGGAGGTGAAGGTTCTTCTATTTGTTGCTGAGTTTAGAATTTGTACTCTTATCATCGAATGAATCAATTTTTGTTGGATTATTTGCTTCTTTTTATTTTAATTCAATTGTTGCGAAGATTACATTTTGATTGTTGGCTTGTTTTCAATGGTTACTCTGTTCCCACGTGGATCGTTTAATGTATTGATGATGGTTGATTGCCTGCTCTCTTGTGCACATTGGTGGATTAGTTTTTTCTCGAACTTTCCATGCTTCCAGCCATTTTGTCCAATTTATGTTCATCATATACGGTGGCTAATTTTTCTCTGTCTACACCTCCCTACTTTAATGTATTCCTTACTGGTGGTCCCTTTGTTGATATTTACTTCTTTTGATTTTCCATATTGTTCGATTCAACCTTCCCTCAACTTCTCTTTGGTTGTGTTAGCTTGTAAATGCTTTCCTTTTATTTTCTTTTCTGTTTATTGTTCTTATTCAAAGAGTGTATCATTGAAATAGTTGTTCTCAGGAATCTGTTTGACAGATGTGCATCTGTTCCCATTTCTTTGGTGTAGGCATGCCGCCTTTCCCAGCTTTCTGCAATACATAGTGCTTACACCTTGCTTTCTTCTCGGGCTAGTACTGGCGCTACAGGAATTGGGTTTTAGTATTTCTAATGGATGAATTTGGTGGACCCCGGTTTGATGGTATTGTAAATACTATAAGAAAGAAGAGGAGCCAAACTTCTCGCAGACCTAAACCTGAGTCACTGCCCTTCCCAGAAAGTGGTGATCTGTCACCGTCATCATCGACACCGCCTTCGGATGATGTGAGCAAGGTGTCTAGTGATGAGAATACTGGATGTGATACAAATTCTAAGAGGAAAGTGTTCAACCTTAATCAGTGTGCTTCAAGGAGTTTTCCAATTCCTAGAGCTGAAGGTGAATATCCCAGCAAAAAGATTAAGAATGAGGATCGAGGATCTGACATGTTACATACTAGTGTGGGTTTGGGAGATGGAGTAGGAAATGAGAACAGGTTAAAAAAGTTTAAACTTAAGGTTGGTGGTGTAACACATACAATTCAAACCAAATCCAGTACTCCTAGTGTGTCAGGCAGTGGGTCTTCTACAAAGAGTGCTCGATCTTCAGATGCTCCTTGGCCATGGCCAAAGCTGATTCTCCAGGTTTATTTCCATTGTTCCTTGTCCTTACGAGTTATCGATCTTTCTCCACACACTCAAGTTTGTACTGTACTATTTCAAGCTGAATATTGTTTTTACAAAGTCATGACTTGTGATGTTGGAAATAAATAAGGGTTGTGATGATGGCACAATGATTGGGAAATGTACACCTAGTTTTCCTCTTTCTCGCTATCAATTTTTGTTTTTGTGAGAAATAAATAGAAAATATATGTGTAAAAGAATGTAAAATAAATGGAAGTGTTTTGCTGATTTTGTTTCCAAACAAATGAAAAAAATACTTCAAGTGAGCAAGTTGTTACCAGCAGTTTTGTTTCCTTGGATCCAAATAATGAAAAATCCCATATCCATGGCATGAGCTGATATCTTCTAATCCTGATAGAAAATCCAGGCTTCCTAATTTAATATTTTCTATTCCTCTGCAATTGGTTCAGCAACCAATTAATGCACAAGTGCTCGCTTTTGGTTGGTCTAGAAGTTAAGGAAGAGTTTATAAGAAACTTGAAGATGCAACCACTGGACAATTGTAACTGACATAATCTTGGGAAAGATTTTCTGACTAAATGTGATTTATGCGTAGGACAGAGAAATTTATTCCTTGAGCTAAGTTTATTGCAAAGTAATCTCGTTCATTTATTCGTATATTGCCATTTAGCATATCTATTTGGAATCCACGAAATCTTTCCATTTCACTTCCTTTATTTTCTCTTAAATTTTAGGACAATTTTGATGAAGATTCTCCAATCCTAGATAAGAAGAGTGGTTTGCAAGGAATCCCATGGATGGATTTCTCAAGAGCACGTTTTAGTCTTGGGAAGGAGGACTCATTGATGGGGAAGATGTCTGGAAAGAATGCCTCTGAAAGGCAAGGTGAGAAGTCAGATCCTGTTCGTAAGAGCAAGAGGGTGCCCAAGAAGCGTCGCCTGGATGGGGCTTTTGAGGAAGATGATGAGATCCGATACCTGGAGAAGCTTAGAACTTCAAAGGTTGCTTTAGTGTATAAAGATTTTGAGGAAGAATCAAGCAAGAAACAAGTAAGTCTTTCTAGGGTTTCTAAGGGAGCTAAGTATGAAAATTTGGAAGATTTTGGTTCTGTAAGGTCAGTTAAAGATGGTAGGAAGTCCACATCTGAAAGAGTTATGGAGGACACGGATTATGAAGAGGACGAAGAATTGTTGTCTGATCGTGAGCCTGAAGGAAAGAAAAAGAAGAAGAAAGAAATGGATGATCCCTCCGATTCACCAACAGAAAATAAGAAGGAAATGGTTCTGACAACACGCCAACGAGCACTTATGTCTAGCAAGGGTGCCTCTTCCATATCTGGTGTGAGCCGTATTGAGTTCCCAAATGGTTTACCCCCGGCTCCACCTCGAAGTAAGTATTGATTTCGTTTTCTTTTAAGATCTCATCTACTATTTATAAGTATTAGTCTTCAATTTATTAAGCGTGTCTCTTTGGTTGCTTTATTATAGAGCAAAAGGAGAAACTTTCGGAAGTGGAGCATCAGCTGAAGAAAGTTGAAGCTGCTCAGAGACGTAGAATGCAAAATGAGAAGGCGGCTCGGGAATCAGAGGTATTTTATGTTGGTTGCACTCCGTTTTACCATAATTATATGTTATATAGATTTTCTGATGTGGGAGGCTGGAGCGAGTGATATCATTGGATTCTGTAGGCTGAGGCAATTAGGAAAATTCTAGGTCAAGATTCCAGTAGGAAGAAGCGAGAAGATAAAATAAAGAAGCGCCAGGAAGAATTGGCACAGGTACTGTAAATGTAAACCATTTTAAGCTGTGCTTTTTTTTTTTTGGGTAAAAAGTTGTTATAATGTTAATAATCACTCCTATTTAATGAATTTTATCTTTCAGGAGAAGGCTGCCAATGCACAGATGCTTGCATCAAACACCATTAGATGGGTTATGGGCCCTACTGGCACTGTGGTTACATTCCCAAAAGAGATGGGTTTGCCTCAAATTTTTAACCCTAAACCTTGCAGGTAGAAATCATTCTCTCCATCCTCAACCTAAATTGAAATGGTTTTTTATAATGTGTTTGAATGCACTCAGTCACCAGTCAAAATGTGCAGAATTATATGTCTTCTGAATTTTATTTTATTTTCTTGGTTTCTGTGTGTGTGGGTTTCTGATCCTATTTTGTTGATGGTCTGAGGATTCTTATGTGGATTTTCAGTTATCCTCCTCCGCGCGAAAAATGTGTCGGACCATCTTGTACCAACCCATACAAGTACCGGGATTCCAAGTCAAAGCTTCCTCTTTGCAGTCTCCAGTGCTACAAGGCAATTCACGAAAAGATGCAAGCCAAAACTGCCTGTTAGCTTTGTAGCTGTCTTGTCCTTCCCTTAATTAATATAGGTATCCTTCTTCTGTGATCTTAATATATTGAGAGAATAATGAAGAAACATCATTTTTGTAAAGAGGAGAGATATCTAGGAATTGGAATTATTCCAGCACTTTAATTCACAGTTGGAAATGTTTCATATGCAGAAACTCCTCCGTAGTAGCTGGCAAAATTATAATGCATTTACCCTCAGCTGCTTTTTTTATTCCTTCTGAGTTCTGTTTGTGGGCCGTTTTGTCAACGCTCATAAATAGTTGATACCTTTGGATTAGTTCTTTGTTCCTTATGCTTAGCTCTCTATTATAATTCTGTTTCATAACGGCCTTTCTAACATCTGCTGAGGCAGGCCTTCAAACAATTGTACGGCTATGCTTGTTAAATTCTTCTCTTTTATCATGGTATGTGTGCCCGTATGTCACAGGCAGGACTCATTAGTTTTCATCCTCTAACATGTTTTCTGGATGATGTTACAATCTACGGTCAATGCTTGTAAGATTCTCTATACATGCAAGCTCATGTTTATTGGTTTCGTTGGCTTGTTGCTTTGTAACAAAGGAGTGTAATTGTTGTATAGTAGTTGGTTGAGGCCTTTCTTACATGCGGATATGATTGTGTTTGAGTTGCTTGCTTTCCTGAAGGAAGAATTACTTATTTAGTTAGTCTTCAAGTTCCTAGCTGGAATACTTAAGGTAGTCTGACATGAATTCATACCTTTTCAACAGTGATGTGGAAATTTCTTGAGGCTTGTTGCGATAAATATTGACAGTTTTATTTATGAACATTGTGAGTCAAGTACATGGCACAAGAAAGGTACAAATTCTTGAATGCACGGGTTTAGCTTGCTGTCCAATGTAAGTTACAGAATGCCAAGTGCACGATTTAACTTTCGTGTTTAAGTTGTAAGTGTGGGGAATTTATTCGTAACTTGCTTTGGGTACGTAGAGTTGCGAATTTATTTGTAACTTGTTTAGGGTACGTGACAAAATGTAGAGTTCCGAATTCATTTGTAATTTTTTTTGGGTACATGACAGCGCTTGAGCTAAAAACAGTTTATCATCGACAATGCTTACTGTTGATAAAACCACCGCACCTGGCTTGTTGGGAGTTGGCCATCAAATCAGCTAGTTCAGCACTCTCCTTCGGATATCGGGCTTCTAAGATGAGAATCAAACAAGTGCTTGTGCAAAATATACGTTTCGCTTGAATCATTCAAAGTGTGATGGTGAAAAACCACTATCAAAAGGAACACTTTCAAAACAAAACAAAAGCGTTATGGCCGTAGCAGCAGTCCTGCCATCGCCCATGGGGATGCACTGATTCAGTACAAATGATATATTTATGGGTTCGCATTTGCGTACTGGTTTTTGGTTCAAAATCACATCGGTGGGCTAAGTTAGCTTCCGAAGGAGTGGAGCGCAACATACCACACCACTCACAATGTGTGGTGTGGCGTGGGGGCAGTGCAAGAAACAAACTTGGCCTGGGGGAACCCATGGTCATGTACATTAAATATGAGCGGGCCGTCGGGTCGGTTCGGATCGGTCAATCATACGCTAAAATAGAGTCCGAGTCTGCGTCGCGTCCTTCGCAATCATGCCCATGGTCATGAATATATTCCTTTGCTTTCCGAAACTCACTCCTTTACTTCTGAGTGACCTCTCTTTGTTTCTATCTCGCTCCGTCGCCGCCTTGAAGCGGATAAGACCAGAAAGTCGGAAGGAAACGCCTGGAGCAACTCTAATTCAATGGCGCATTCATGCGTGTCGTCTCTCAGATTCACTTCCTCTCTCGTGTTCTCTTCTACAAACCCTAGCTCCTCTTCCTCCTCTGCCGAAATTAGAACCCTCTCTCTGCCGTTCGAATCACTTCGGCCCAGGTACTCTTTCTGATTAGTTCCTTTCCAAATAGTTATCTTTTGTTTTGATTCTTCTATCATTTGCAGGAAATTAAAAAAGATATTGTCCGGTAAGCGGAACAATTTCCGGAGTTCTTCAGCGAAGGCTGTCTACTCCGGTGAGGTTTGGGAGGCCGGAAAGACTTCGCAGAGGGGTGTTTGGTCCATTAGGTAAGGTTTATATGATAAGCCTTTGCGTTTCGGTGTTGTTTGAATCGTCTTGTTTCAACTTCTTGATGAATTCAAATATTTAGGGATGACTTACAAGTTCCATCTTCGCCATACTTTCCGGCGTTCGCACAAGGAGGACAAGGACCACCTCCGATGGTGCAAGAGCGGTTCCAGAGTGTTATCAGTCAGCTTTTTCAATATGTAAACGATTATGTTTGGTTTTCTCTTAATATTTTAGGTTATACTTTCAGTTTTAAACTCGTGATCAATCTTTATCAAAATATTGATGATGGTACTGTTTTGGAATATAAGAGAATAATACGTTGTGGTGGAGCTGTTGATGATGATATGGCGAACATTATTGTTGCTCAGCTTCTCTATCTTGATGCTGTTGATCCTAACAAGGTTCGTATCATTTATTTATGTTATTCTTCCACTTAATTGTATCCTAAAATTTCCTAGAAGTTCAACAGTATCAACGAAATTTGCTAGTAACTAGTAACCTGGTCAGGTGGACCTATTTTAGTATGAGTATATTTGTCCAACTAAGTTTGTTCAATCAAAATGAGGATGCACTGTATGGTCTTTGATGGATGTCTTGTGTGCTAAAGTTATTGTTTGTGGCTCTTATTGAATCTTTGTTAAACTTAATGAGCCAAATTGCCTAAGATGTGATCTTAAATAGGTCACATTTGTGGAATAGAATTCATGTAATCGTCTCCCCTAGTAGTTGGACAATTTTTGTTGAGTTGAGCAGATTATTTTTTAACATAAATTGATGTCTATCATGAAAGAATGAGCTTTTATATTTAATTGACCATACTCCACTTGTTGTAACCATCCTTTACCACCAACATACACACATACCCCTCTTACTCTTTCGTGAACTCTGATTTTGATTCAAAAAATTTTAGAAGATAAAGATGATTGTATGGGTGATTCTCGATTCACACCTGTCCTGATATTTTGAGCAGGATATTGTGATGTATGTGAACTCTCCAGGGGGATCAGTTACAGCTGGTAACTTTTCTTTAGCTACTGCTCAGTCATTCTGTTGATAAGATTCTGTATAATGGGCTGTGAACTAATGCCATCTTTTTATTTATTTCTTTTTCTTTTTTTCCTTTATCCTCTTAGGTATGGCCATATTTGACACAATGAGGCATATCCGACCTGATGTTTCCACTGTATGTGTTGGACTAGCGGCTAGGTAAAAGATTCATTGGTGCATGTTTTGTGACTGCTAGTGCCATTCCTGCCTTTACTGTCTTAGAGAGCTGCTATGTTGTTTATTTCTTTTCTCCTACCCTTCCTCCTTGGTCAGTCCGTCCAATGAATATTTTTGTTGTAGGTGTCATTTATTACTAACGGTGGCATTAGACACTGACCTTATTGATAAATTTATGAAATACCCTTTCAATTGCTGCTATAATTGCATGTATTTCTTAGTTTTTAATATTAAGTTGTTTATTTTCCCATTTCTGATGTTTAAATAAGCTTAAGAAAAAGTCAGTGGTCCTAGTGGGTTTAATACGAACATACATGTGGGTCCTATTACAATTAGTCAAAAGGTGACCAGCCACGTAGGAAAGTGACCAAGTATTAAAAATAAGTTCAGTCAAGTAATTAGAGAATTGGGGCCTCTCCCATTTGATTTTTCTGCCAGACCATCCAAAACAAATATGAGTTTTCTTTTTGTTAATCATCTTGGCGATCAGTACTTTCACTGTGTCTTCAAATCGATGCCAATCAGGGTGTTCACTTTGAATTTCTTTTTTCTGTTAGTTTTTTTTTTTTCTGTTAGTTATTTTTCATATTCTAATCTAATAACAAGTCATGGTTCAATAATTAATAAGGGGATATTTAACTTGCCCTTATTTAAAAGGGGATATTTAATAATTATTTTGTGGCATGACAAAAAAAAAGAGGGTGTCTCAGTGGAAGGAGAAGGACCTATGTCTGCCTGAGAGGTTTATCCACTAAAAGATGAAATTTCGTGGGACATGGACGGACGGGTTGAAAGGAGTGTTGACACTTGGTCATATGGCCCTCACATAGTTTTGCCGTGTCCTCCAAATCATATGCTGCAGTTGTTTTTCTGATTTGAAGTCTTTATCTTTAGTGCAGAAGAGAATTATGGCTTCTTCTATTAGTCTATAGTTACTTCAGGCAAGTGATGCAGTTTGTTTGCGAGTTCTACAATTTGCATTTGTGTTGCAGTACTGCTTTTTAGAGTGGATACATTCTGACTGAGAAGGAATGTTTGTTTACTGGTTTAGAAGAATTAAGAGTTAAGTTTGAGGCAGTTTTTAGCATTCTGTGATGTATAAGGCTTTTATTCAATACTTGATCGGTGTNTACCCCTCTTACTCTTTCGTGAACTCTGATTTTGATTCAAAAAATTTTAGAAGATAAAGATGATTGTATGGGTGATTCTCGATTCACACCTGTCCTGATATTTTGAGCAGGATATTGTGATGTATGTGAACTCTCCAGGGGGATCAGTTACAGCTGGTAACTTTTCTTTAGCTACTGCTCAGTCATTCTGTTGATAAGATTCTGTATAATGGGCTGTGAACTAATGCCATCTTTTTATTTATTTCTTTTTCTTTTTTTCCTTTATCCTCTTAGGTATGGCCATATTTGACACAATGAGGCATATCCGACCTGATGTTTCCACTGTATGTGTTGGACTAGCGGCTAGGTAAAAGATTCATTGGTGCATGTTTTGTGACTGCTAGTGCCATTCCTGCCTTTACTGTCTTAGAGAGCTGCTATGTTGTTTATTTCTTTTCTCCTACCCTTCCTCCTTGGTCAGTCCGTCCAATGAATATTTTTGTTGTAGGTGTCATTTATTACTAACGGTGGCATTAGACACTGACCTTATTGATAAATTTATGAAATACCCTTTCAATTGCTGCTATAATTGCATGTATTTCTTAGTTTTTAATATTAAGTTGTTTATTTTCCCATTTCTGATGTTTAAATAAGCTTAAGAAAAAGTCAGTGGTCCTAGTGGGTTTAATACGAACATACATGTGGGTCCTATTACAATTAGTCAAAAGGTGACCAGCCACGTAGGAAAGTGACCAAGTATTAAAAATAAGTTCAGTCAAGTAATTAGAGAATTGGGGCCTCTCCCATTTGATTTTTCTGCCAGACCATCCAAAACAAATATGAGTTTTCTTTTTGTTAATCATCTTGGCGATCAGTACTTTCACTGTGTCTTCAAATCGATGCCAATCAGGGTGTTCACTTTGAATTTCTTTTTTCTGTTAGTTTTTTTTTTTTCTGTTAGTTATTTTTCATATTCTAATCTAATAACAAGTCATGGTTCAATAATTAATAAGGGGATATTTAACTTGCCCTTATTTAAAAGGGGATATTTAATAATTATTTTGTGGCATGACAAAAAAAAAGAGGGTGTCTCAGTGGAAGGAGAAGGACCTATGTCTGCCTGAGAGGTTTATCCACTAAAAGATGAAATTTCGTGGGACATGGACGGACGGGTTGAAAGGAGTGTTGACACTTGGTCATATGGCCCTCACATAGTTTTGCCGTGTCCTCCAAATCATATGCTGCAGTTGTTTTTCTGATTTGAAGTCTTTATCTTTAGTGCAGAAGAGAATTATGGCTTCTTCTATTAGTCTATAGTTACTTCAGGCAAGTGATGCAGTTTGTTTGCGAGTTCTACAATTTGCATTTGTGTTGCAGTACTGCTTTTTAGAGTGGATACATTCTGACTGAGAAGGAATGTTTGTTTACTGGTTTAGAAGAATTAAGAGTTAAGTTTGAGGCAGTTTTTAGCATTCTGTGATGTATAAGGCTTTTATTCAATACTTGATCGGTGTGTATAGTCATAATACAATTGAACAAATTTCATGCCACCTATTAGAACATTAGTTCATGTAAAATACTTCATGAAGTACGCACTTTTTCTGTCATGGGGTTGGCTGGCTATTTCTCCTCTCATTATTTCTAGCCTATCTGCAGATGTACATTCCAGCAGTTAATTTTATAATTTATGGGGTAATTTTATATTGCATTTCTTTTTTGTTAGTCATGTTACAAGAATATTCTTTTCATAATGGATATATTCTTTCACATGAACAGTATGGGGGCTTTTCTGCTCAGTGCTGGCACCAAAGGTAAATAACTTGACTTTCTTATGAGTGATTTGAATTCTATTTCATGACTTTTTCTTGCTGAAATTAATTCTTTCTCTATTTGCAACGGTTACTGAAGGAAAAAGATATAGCCTTCCAAACTCAAGGATAATGATCCATCAGCCTCTTGGTGGAGCACAAGGTGGGCAGACTGACATAGATATTCAGGTATGCAACTGTCCATTGTTTCTTGCTAGGGATCTTTGTTTCTTAGTCTATCACATATTGCACATCTAATTTAATACAGCAGACACAATAAAATGCATGTGATGTATTGGGAAATTAAATTACCCTTTTTTTGAGGAAGTCTGGTGTTCATTGTATGTGTAGATTCTTGAAGGCACAGTGGTCCGCAATTCGATGTGAACTGGCTCCATTTTCTTTTCATTCAGTTGACCAGTTTCTTTTTTGCTTCGCATTTGATTTTATTTTATCTCGTGTTTGGGACCTTTATGATTTCTGTTAATGAGCTACGATTTTTCTTTATGACTTTGCATATGGATTTTCATTTTTATCTAGTTTCTATTTTTCCTTCAAGCTTCATAAAATAGCAATTAAGCATGTCCTTATATACGGTGGAGCTGGTAATTTAATTGGAATGACTTTTCCTGAGATGGTGTAAAAAGAAATTGGAACAATAAGTTAATACCATCTTGAGGTTTTTTCCATGGGCAACTTGTTGTAAGAAGAGGTCAAAGGAAACCCAATGTGACTGTTTAAATTGGTAGTTATATTTTTGATTGAGTATTGTTTTGAAAAGGTCTCTCCTGTTGGAACTTGTCTATTTATATTTTCTGCTGGACCTTCTGACTTTGTTTGTTGTGTTGCTCACGGCTCTGATCAGTAGCGATCATGTTTATTGCTTAGGCTAATGAAATGTTGCATCACAAGGCAAACTTGAATGGATATCTTTCTTACCACACTGGCCAAAGCCTAGAAAAGATCAATCAGGATACTGATCGTGACTTTTTCATGAGTGCTAAAGAAGCTAAAGAATACGGGCTTATAGATGGTGTTATCATGAATCCTCTAAAAGCTCTCCAGCCTCTGGCGGCTACTGCAGACCAGTAACAATGACAATTCTTGGTGTGTAAACTTTACCCAGCCTTTGCTAAATTAATGGTGTACTATGTTGTTTTGGCTGCTGAATGATGTTACCTTAGTGCACCATAGGTTAAACAAGTTTTGCTTTGTTTTCCATTTCTAGTAAAGCTTGGGAAGTCGATCAAACTTCAAATATTGTATCTTTCGTTAGCACCCCTATATTGTTTTTTGCTGCATGCCATCATTTTGCTTCAACAAACCTAATCCTTCGATCTATTGAAAAGTCCATGTTATGCTTCTCCAAATTATTCTAGGATCAGATTTTGCACTTACAAGGTTAGAAATCAAAAATTTATGTATTTTTGCTGAGATTCTTTTACCTCAATTCCTTTTATGGAATTTGATGCATCCCCTGCCACTAAACCAAGATCCCCGTTTCAGTCAGTAGAAACTTTGTTATTATTTAGGATTAGTTTGGGTATGTTTACTTGAGCATTATTTTTTTACTTTGGATCTAATTTTATATCTGGTATTTTAGAATTCAATAATTTTTTATTACCACATATATAACATGAAATCCACCAACACTCTTTAATTTTTTTTTTTTGGTCAGAACCAACACTCTTATGCAATGCTCTCTTCTATAGGGAACTGCCCCCCTCCTCCAAACCAAACCAAACCAAACCAAACTAAATTAAGTGTTATGTCCCAATTATTTGGGGTCAGTTTTTATGAGTCTGTCTTTACCATTCATTTTGATCATGCACTATACGTTCATTTAAGTTAAATATTTAAAAAAATAAAAAAAATCAATTAACGGTGTGGGGAAAACAGAAAATATTCGGCGTTTATAAGACATTAGCTTCCATCTCACGAAAAATTGTGACAACACTTGTTTGTGAGACACACAAATTGATTGTTCAATTTTTATTGGGAATGTATAATATTTTATAGGTGATTTACACAACCACGTGACAATCCGGTGAGCACTAAATATCCTCTCCAGGCACCGACAGTACCTCCAAATAGTTGAAAGATCAACAGATGTAGCTGTCGATTAATAAAATAAGTTTGGTGGATGTGGATCAATATATCTATCAAGCTGTAACATTGGGCAGGTGCGTAGAGTGGTGGTTTAGAAATTGGTCTTCTAGTGGTAGTAGCGCACAAGGTGGGGAGTTTGTGGAATCTTGTGCGATACCCTTATCCACAAAAGAAGATACTCCTCTTCTCTCCTACTTGGCAGATTTGGCATTTTGCACAGGAAGTCTGTAACTGGACTGGTAAAAACCACCATCAACAAAACCAAAAGGGCTCCCCTTTATCTAGAACGAGCTACAAGAAAGAAAATGCCAAGAAAACAAAACCTAACTCTTCCACCAAATCAACTACTGCAAGGAAAAAAGTAGCCTCAATCTCACCAACATCTTTGAGCACTATCCTTGTGACTCTCGTGCTATAGTATCTTTTGAGAATCGCCACTTTTTATTCTTTAATCTCTCGCATCTCTCTCTCAACACACCTATACACGCATTTTGTAGTCACTTGAGAGCAGAAACCCAGTGAGGGTATTTATCCTCTATTTATTTTCTTCCTAAATTATTTACGGTGAATACACGTGGGACATATTGTATGTAAATTGGCAATTAAAAAAAATAAGAGAAAAAAAATTATTAGTAGGGATTTGGATCCTCATTATTCTTTGAAGTAAAGCGAAACAAGGACAATTATTTGTAGACTGACAAGTTTTGATTACTTTGGAGATAATATCTGGCATTCTTGGTCAAGCGCCCTAAAGTGTTTTTGGAAGAAACAAAATAAGTCCCTGAAAATCTTGGAAAGATCCATGAATGAAGATGCCAACGAACTACAGTGCCAGTGGATAGATTATGTATAAACAAGTAAGTACATTACTAGAAGTACTTGGATCAAGAAGGATGAACAAGAATCATTTCCTCGAAGAAATTGCTCATTATGAAGCTTGAGAAAAATGAAGATGATGGTAATTCTTCAAGCTCGTCATAGAAGTCATTTTCTTCTGATTTGGGTGCTGTAAAGGTCATTAGCTGAGGATAAGAGAGGGGCTCTGTATCAAAGAGTACACTTGGTGAGTCATACGTATTCTCCAGGTCCAGGTTTTCTTCTTGATTGATTGTAATGTCTTGGGAGGTATTGAATGGAGACTTGGAGTAGTGGAAGTGATCTTCACTTGCCTCTCCTTCAACTTTAATGAGGGTTTGTTGCTCTTGTTTTTGTTCTTCCTTTGGGGTTGTAGGATGGTCCTCGGGAAGTGGGGTTTGGTGTTCTTTTGCCTGTTGGGTAAGGTTTGTGGTAGCAAGGTCAGGGCCTGGATGATTATGGCTACAGGTGTAAGTGATGATGAGCATTGAAGCATCTGTTCTGCATCTCTCTACTTGCTTTTTGGCTGAACAACCCTTTGATGTACTGCATCTGTAATAACCCCTGCAGGAATCAAGTGGCAAGAGAACCAGTGGNTCCTCTTCTCTCCTACTTGGCAGATTTGGCATTTTGCACAGGAAGTCTGTAACTGGACTGGTAAAAACCACCATCAACAAAACCAAAAGGGCTCCCCTTTATCTAGAACGAGCTACAAGAAAGAAAATGCCAAGAAAACAAAACCTAACTCTTCCACCAAATCAACTACTGCAAGGAAAAAAGTAGCCTCAATCTCACCAACATCTTTGAGCACTATCCTTGTGACTCTCGTGCTATAGTATCTTTTGAGAATCGCCACTTTTTATTCTTTAATCTCTCGCATCTCTCTCTCAACACACCTATACACGCATTTTGTAGTCACTTGAGAGCAGAAACCCAGTGAGGGTATTTATCCTCTATTTATTTTCTTCCTAAATTATTTACGGTGAATACACGTGGGACATATTGTATGTAAATTGGCAATTAAAAAAAATAAGAGAAAAAAAATTATTAGTAGGGATTTGGATCCTCATTATTCTTTGAAGTAAAGCGAAACAAGGACAATTATTTGTAGACTGACAAGTTTTGATTACTTTGGAGATAATATCTGGCATTCTTGGTCAAGCGCCCTAAAGTGTTTTTGGAAGAAACAAAATAAGTCCCTGAAAATCTTGGAAAGATCCATGAATGAAGATGCCAACGAACTACAGTGCCAGTGGATAGATTATGTATAAACAAGTAAGTACATTACTAGAAGTACTTGGATCAAGAAGGATGAACAAGAATCATTTCCTCGAAGAAATTGCTCATTATGAAGCTTGAGAAAAATGAAGATGATGGTAATTCTTCAAGCTCGTCATAGAAGTCATTTTCTTCTGATTTGGGTGCTGTAAAGGTCATTAGCTGAGGATAAGAGAGGGGCTCTGTATCAAAGAGTACACTTGGTGAGTCATACGTATTCTCCAGGTCCAGGTTTTCTTCTTGATTGATTGTAATGTCTTGGGAGGTATTGAATGGAGACTTGGAGTAGTGGAAGTGATCTTCACTTGCCTCTCCTTCAACTTTAATGAGGGTTTGTTGCTCTTGTTTTTGTTCTTCCTTTGGGGTTGTAGGATGGTCCTCGGGAAGTGGGGTTTGGTGTTCTTTTGCCTGTTGGGTAAGGTTTGTGGTAGCAAGGTCAGGGCCTGGATGATTATGGCTACAGGTGTAAGTGATGATGAGCATTGAAGCATCTGTTCTGCATCTCTCTACTTGCTTTTTGGCTGAACAACCCTTTGATGTACTGCATCTGTAATAACCCCTGCAGGAATCAAGTGGCAAGAGAACCAGTGGGAATACATTATGCACTGCGTGTGTGTGTGTGTGTGGGAGAGAGAGAGAGAGAGAGAGTATGAACCTGGGATACGGAGATCCTTTAATGGGTTTTTGCCCATACTTCCGCCACGAACAACGATCAGAAGGATCACTTTTCTGCTTTCCATCATTTGTTTCAATCTTCACTGTGACCACAGTCTTCTGAGCCACCTTTCTGTTACCACAAAGAAGAGAATAGAAAAATGGTACAAATTCACTCGTTAATTCCCGAGGGGGAGAAAAAGAAGCAGAAAGAGAAGACACATCTTTCGAGTTTCAAACCCATATTTTCACATCATCAAAACCTCCAAAAAACAAAAAAAAAACTACATTCATTGACCTTTTCTTGGATGCCTGAGATTCTTCTTTAAGTACCTCTGAAATATCCGACTCCATCTCTGTAGACTGAGATCCCTCCATGACCGAATTACTTCTTCTTCTTTATTCAGCTAAAGGCTTAAAGACATAGAGTTATTAAGGAGATGAAGTTGCTGAAGCAGCATTAAAGAAAGAGATGGAAGATATTGAGCTCCAATTGATTAAGAGAGAGAAAGAGAAAGGAGAGGATAAGCAAGAGATGACAAACCCACAAGTCGCTTTCTCTCTTTCTTTTCAGTCATTAAATATAAAGCAATACACAGGTTTGCATTTCACCACCCCCACTACCCTGATTATAACATTAAATATTATACACATTTGGTTAGGAACTTAGGAATGGGAGTATTCATTTTGCTCATCTCCAATAGGATTCAAAGAATCAGTCGATCATTTGTTACAAATTGGACCATTCATCTCGAGATTAATACACGCCAATAATTCACAATTTGCAATGTTTTTCTTCTATATATCAAACATATCATCTACTATCAATTTGTGACGTCACATTCCACGCGTTTCAATGTCCTCCAAAATTGACCAACCAACAATATCACGACCTTGAACTGTTTCCACGTAGATAAATTCAAAGCCTATGTGACTCTTGATTTGGTGGGGGTGGGGGTGGGGGTGACTTATCATCACTCTTCAGTGGATTCTTCTAACTTTCACTTCACTTACCACCAAAACAGGAAAACACACACTCAAAAAGAACAAAGAATAAATTCATGGATGTGCGGAATATGATGGCCACTTTGGTTTTTACACTCTACTGTTGCGAATCTCCTGTTAATCATACATCTATCCTAAGGTAAGGTATCTTTTTGAATTTAAGGCTCACCATGTTGTCGGTATTTCCTTAACGATTCGAAATACAAGTTCCATAAACCTCTTGATGTAATGTTACCGGATGTTGTGACAGTCACGAATAACAGCTTTAACGATGATACAGAGAAAAAGTATTGATAAAACATATTTCATAATAAATTAAAGCTCATGGATTGAAAATTAGATTCGTATAAACTCAAAAAAACACTTTATGTACTTAAAAAAAACTACATATTACAACTTCATGCATAGTAAAAATATTTGTTATAACGTTAATACCATATCGTCATCCGATAACAAGCCACCGGTGATGTAATGACCGAGTAAGTTGTTTACCTTGAGCTATATTGGATATCTAGACACTAATCGAGGGTGTCTCTCAATATAATTTGAGAACATCAATATATCTTATAGTGATGATTTTAGGATTACAATCACATACTCTCCCTCCCTTAGGATTGATAATCGAGTAGAGTTTTATAAGCTTGAACTGAGCATGTTGATCTCGTTTTTTTAAGCGAGCCTAAAAAATTGTTCAATTTCAGTTCGTTTAAAAAATGAGTTGAGCTCAAGTAGTTCGACTATTTTACATATAAAATAGACGAGTTTTGTGAGTTAAAACCAAATTTTTTAAGCTCATTTTTTAAATAAATTTATAAAATTATTTAAATTTAACTTATTTAAAAAATAAGTCGAGCTCAACACGAACTAAACCCGAATAGCTCCCGTCAATTATGAGCTCTATTCCCCTGGATCCATCAGTGAGGCCGTGTATGTCATCATTTTAAACTCTTGTTTCGAGAATTACGTCTCAAGCAATGTGGCCCGATTAGTTATAAGTTTAAATATTAGGTAGAACTCTAGTTTAATAGTTGTATTACATTACTTCTTTTCAAAATAATATTTTCCAAAAAATATATGTTTTATAGTACTTTTTCTTGTGTGGATCCTATTTCAATGGAAGCTTTGATGAGTCGGTTCACCTAGATATCTTGTTTTTACTGGTATATTGTGAGTTGCTCCACGTATTGTTTGACATAAAATAGATAATGGATTTGTTTGTCTTTTGTTGAATCTTTTTCACGGTTCGATAAACAATTTGATAAACCAATGATTTTTTTCTGTGTTTCAGAATACAGTTATTTGATTCTTGTGGTTAGTTGAGTCTTGTATCCACCATGTATCATGATCCGCGTTGCATTCAGGAACCCACAAATCATAAAATTAATTATCACCAAAAATCCACACCATATTCCAATTTTATTCGAATCGTTTTTGTAAGAGAAGTATTTGACAATGGAATCGAGTAGATAACGTTTCTTGATGTTCCAAAAATCTTTGTCTATTTCATTTGTGTTCTTGTTTATCAACCCTTTCGAAATGGCATTTCCTTCTCCTGTACTTTTCTCACTGTCCGTTCCAACTTGTCCCTCTCTGTTGATTCCTTGTTTCCGTAGACTTTTTCCGGCTGAAATTCTTAGGAAATTAAATTGTGACTCTCTCTCAGACTTATTCTTGTACCTTTGGACTATTATCTTTGTTCTTGCCCATAAAAAAACACCACCAAAATCATAATTAATTTTCGTCACGTCTAATGCTATGAGCTGAGTCAAGTGATACCAATATTTCCCTTTCAGCATTGCCTTCCTCGATATCACTCATTTAATTAACTTATTCTCGACAGCTTTCACCTGCAATTTGCATGGTTATTGCCATCAAACATAGTGTGTGTGTATATATATGAACCTTGATCGACGATGTTAATTAAATCTGAGTGTGTTGAGTGGAGGAAAACAGGTTGATTCAGCATTCAGATGGCGAATGCGTTGTTCTCTTCATTCAATTTAAGTGGATGGTTATAGTCTGCTCAAAGGGGAAATTATGAGCAAAGGTAAACAAGTTCCATGGCTTGGAATGACAGGCCTTGGAGTGATTGATCCTTTTTGCTCTACATATGATCCTTGTCAGGAAAATGTGGCCGAGAGAACAGTCAATCTGGTTAGAGATCAACAACTTTCCAACTCCGAAACCCGGATGCAAAATGATTTGCACAACCATGGCGTCCCCAGCTTGGCGGATCAAAAAATGTATGAACCACCAAATCCTGAACATGTCCACAACCAGATTTCAGAGGTTGCTGAATTGATGAGGAAAAACACATCTCCATGTCCTTTATCATCGTTAGAGGTCGTCAGCAATAGTACAAGTCATGAGGGTGGCCGGAAATATTCCACGGAAGAAATCATAAAGCTGGCCGGAGAAAGGTACATCCAGTTGTTCACACAAGGGGCCAATGGTTTCAACATGTCTATCCACCCCTATGATTTTTCTCTCGCTGGTCTGTCCCTAGCAGACACGAGAGATGTGGGCCTAGCCCACCTTCTTCTTGATGCAGCCGAGAAAGTAGCCTACCAGCAATTCGATGAGGCTAACGGATTGCTTACTCGTTGCGGGTGGATGGCATCGGATACAGGTAATCCAGTGCAGAGAATTGTTTTTTATTTTGTACAAGCTTTAAGAGAGAGGATTGCTAGAGAAACAGGAAGTACCACTAATAAGAGTGATCACGCAAAAGAGAAATACATACAAAGTTTAGCATTGGGAAGTAACCTCACGTTCTTGGCATGCCACAAACAGCTCCCATTCAATCAAGTGATGCAATTTGCCGGAATTCAAACAATAATTGAAAACGTCTCAATGGCAACCAAAGTCCATATAATTGATATCCACATCCGGAGTGGAGTTCAATGGACAGCCTTGATGCAATCTCTTGCAGACCGACAGAACTGGCCCTCGCTTGAGCTTCTCAAGATAACTGCTATTGGAATGATGGACAAACCCAACATCGAGGCGACTGGCAACAGATTGATGAGCTTTGCCAAGTCCTTGAACTTGCAGTTTTCATTCAAGATAGTTTTTGTATCAGACATGAAAGAACTAAAGGAAGATCTGTTTGATATAGAAGCTGATGAAGTGGTTGCTGTTTACTCTCAAGTGATACTAAGGTCAATGATCTCAAGCCCTGATTGCTTGGAAAATCTAATGAGTGTAATCAGAAGGATCAAGCCATCCATAATGGTGGTCATTGAAGTGGAAGCAAACCATAATTCGCCTTCATTTGTGAATCGCTTCACAGAGACCCTTTTCTTTTACAGTGCATATTTTGATTGCTTGGAAGATTACATGGAACGAGATAATCAGTATAGAATGACGCTTGAAGGAATCTATTTTCGTGATGGGATCCAAGACATGGTTGCAACGGAGGGCAAGGAAAGAATTGCCCGAAATGTGAAGATGAATGTGTGGAGAGCATTCTTTGCAAGGTTTGGAATGGAGGAAATTGAACTGAGCAGCTCATCTTTGTATCAAGCTAATTTGGTGCTCAAGCAGTTTAAGTGTGGGAGTTCCTGTACTTTTCATAGTAATGGGAAGAGCCTCATTATTGGATGGAAAGGAACACCACTTCATTCTCTATCCACTTGGAAATTCTTGTAGTACTTAACAAGTCTGCTAATAGGGGTTGATGGAACAGTGCATGTATCTAGAAAATAAGGCGGAGATGTTCTAAAAGGGTCAGCTAATACCCCTCTTATTTGATAATCTTCACAGACATGATAGCTAGAGAATGAAATGAAGAAGAATAAAGAAGAAGAAGAAGAGGAGGAGGTAGAGGATAAATTTAATCTTTATTTTCATTACTTTCTTTGCTATATTGCTAGTACGTTATATTCCTGGACGAGTTTGATATATATAATCAGGTGCAAAGAGAGGAATTAATACATCTTGATATGGTTTGTTGCAGATCAGCTATGTTACTCACTCTAACTAACTGCTTTTGTTGCTAGCTATATCTATATCCATGCTCTAACTGTCTTAAGTCTAATTCTACTATGTACGGAGAAGAGGAATTGGTTTTTCTAATACAGTCATATTAATGCACCTCTAAATTTTGGTGCTGATCAAGCATGAAACAGGGGATTAATGGCAAGAGAAAGAGCTGAACAGTTTATTTTCTTTACAAGTACAATTGTATGTTTATACATAGATGAGAATGGCGTATTCATTGGGAAAAAAAGGAACTTCCTATAATCAACTCTAACTGCCTGCCTTTGTTGCTGCACCATTTGTACTTGTATTTTTTTTTTTTGTTTCAACAGTCAGGGATTTCTGATCCAACTAATGCGTACTTCGGCTAATCTCGGCGGACCTTCATGCTGAGAATAGAGTATTCAATCCCTCATAACTAGACCCTAAAAAATTATCAACATTCGAACTCAGGACGTTTGAATTTATAATTTATCCCTGTTTATTTGTACTTGTACGAAACTGAATATGTATGACGTATTAATTCAATTAAAAAAATCAACAGATTTATTTAATTTTCTTATTTACAGAGGTTTACAGGCATCCAAAGTGTGTATTTCATCAGATTTTAATATACCTGAGCATTTTTGGCATAATGTCAAGGTAATAAAAACATCATCACAGTGCCAGCCTTTTCTTCTTGAAAATTACGTGACGATCAATATAATTAAAGAGCCTAATGTCCTATTCATATGGTTACAACTTACAAGGGTGGTACGTGAGCAGAGCAAAACATGACCAAGTCGATTATTACATTATTTAAACAAAATATAGCATCCCCTTAATTTTAAGTGACGAATTGAGTTGTCAAACGGTTAACTTTCATTAGCCATAAACATACAATCCTAAGAAAGAAGAGATTTTATTAATTTGTTACACGCTATTATAATATACAAAATAAACCCATCTATGCTTATCAATGGATTGGATGCGAGTTAAATTTTGGGTCATCCAATTCAAATTATGATGGTGCTCAAAATCAACTGAATCTAACTATAGAACAGTTTGGGGGTGTGGATCAGATAGTGTGTGAACGTGTGTATGTGATGGAAAGTGTATTAAGTATTAAATGTAAGACGAGGACAATAGTACGAGTGAGTGGTTCATTTTAACCGAAGAATGAATGTTACATCCACTATAAGAGTGCTCTTACTCCTTGGGAGTTGTATTATTTGGGGAAGAAGATTACTGTTATTACAAGATATTCAGGTGGAAGTCTTTTATAGAATGATGCCTAGGTTATTGTTAAGTTCTCTTTTTTTTTTTTGGTATCGTTAGCTATTTATACATCTTGTTCTTAAAGTTTTTGTGGTGATTCCTTTCTGACTGATTCTATAGTCCCTTCTGTGTTTGTTTTGCTCCTAGAGTTGTGGTCCATGACGTCTTTCTATACTCACTACTTGCCGGATGTAGTACGTAATCCACCTTCATTGTCGATGGACTTTTGTTCATTAGGATTGTCAAATATTCTCTCCAGTCTACGTGTTGCGGTACGACTTTTGGTGAATATCTTATATTATGCTTCCAATTCTCGAGTTGATATCTGTATAGAGCTTGTCGATACCGAATCATCACCTATTTTGAACTAGTTTATTGTAGGCTTCTATGGAGCTGAGCCGCAATCCAACTCAGACCCAATTAGCACTATCTGGATGAGGTGCTTGGGTTGTCTTAAATGAACCCAAAAACTTTTGGGCTTTAGAAAGGGTTCAAACTTAAATTTATCGTCATCAAATCCTATTTAACAACCATGTTTTAGGTATATGAGGAATTTTATTTTTGCTTTTCATATTAAAATTTGTTAAACTGACTTTAAGTAAATTAAATCTCAATTTCAACTTGATCTCACCAACAAAGCACTCAGTATCATCTCCTCTTTACAAACTAGAGTGAATTACAATATTAAATCATATGTGATCAACTAAGTTAAAATCAATTTGAATTCGAATCAAAATTTGGTCTACTAAGTGATCAAGGCGTATCTCTTCTTACTTAAATCCACATGTTATGTGAACCATAAGAACAAGAGGTTATTGTTCAATCTACAGACTCTAAATAACTTGCGCAACTTGATTAGTTTTATCTCTGATTTGATTAAGGACAAATTATTCACACTAAGACTAATGGATTCATGAGGGATAAATTCTTTATGACCTGATTTTAAAGAGTTGCCAAAATTTAAATTTATCATATCTGAATTTATAATTCATCTCTGTTACCACTTAAATTACTGAGAGAGATAAACCCAAGAAAACACAGTACTAAGTAACACCCTACATTGCAATTATGCCGCACGTAAAAAATAACAGTAATTTATTCACGCAAAATAAAAGTAGTTAAAGTGATAACGGATCGTAGAGAAATGACTTATTTTTTATGTAAATTTAAATTATTTGAATTTAAATTTTGACAATTTTTTAATATCAAATTATGAAAAATTTATCGCTTATAAATACCCTAATTTTGATATAAATGCCTTGTTTTTTTATCGGATTNTTTTTTTTTTTGGTATCGTTAGCTATTTATACATCTTGTTCTTAAAGTTTTTGTGGTGATTCCTTTCTGACTGATTCTATAGTCCCTTCTGTGTTTGTTTTGCTCCTAGAGTTGTGGTCCATGACGTCTTTCTATACTCACTACTTGCCGGATGTAGTACGTAATCCACCTTCATTGTCGATGGACTTTTGTTCATTAGGATTGTCAAATATTCTCTCCAGTCTACGTGTTGCGGTACGACTTTTGGTGAATATCTTATATTATGCTTCCAATTCTCGAGTTGATATCTGTATAGAGCTTGTCGATACCGAATCATCACCTATTTTGAACTAGTTTATTGTAGGCTTCTATGGAGCTGAGCCGCAATCCAACTCAGACCCAATTAGCACTATCTGGATGAGGTGCTTGGGTTGTCTTAAATGAACCCAAAAACTTTTGGGCTTTAGAAAGGGTTCAAACTTAAATTTATCGTCATCAAATCCTATTTAACAACCATGTTTTAGGTATATGAGGAATTTTATTTTTGCTTTTCATATTAAAATTTGTTAAACTGACTTTAAGTAAATTAAATCTCAATTTCAACTTGATCTCACCAACAAAGCACTCAGTATCATCTCCTCTTTACAAACTAGAGTGAATTACAATATTAAATCATATGTGATCAACTAAGTTAAAATCAATTTGAATTCGAATCAAAATTTGGTCTACTAAGTGATCAAGGCGTATCTCTTCTTACTTAAATCCACATGTTATGTGAACCATAAGAACAAGAGGTTATTGTTCAATCTACAGACTCTAAATAACTTGCGCAACTTGATTAGTTTTATCTCTGATTTGATTAAGGACAAATTATTCACACTAAGACTAATGGATTCATGAGGGATAAATTCTTTATGACCTGATTTTAAAGAGTTGCCAAAATTTAAATTTATCATATCTGAATTTATAATTCATCTCTGTTACCACTTAAATTACTGAGAGAGATAAACCCAAGAAAACACAGTACTAAGTAACACCCTACATTGCAATTATGCCGCACGTAAAAAATAACAGTAATTTATTCACGCAAAATAAAAGTAGTTAAAGTGATAACGGATCGTAGAGAAATGACTTATTTTTTATGTAAATTTAAATTATTTGAATTTAAATTTTGACAATTTTTTAATATCAAATTATGAAAAATTTATCGCTTATAAATACCCTAATTTTGATATAAATGCCTTGTTTTTTTATCGGATTAAGGAAAAAACTAATGAAGGTACCCATAAATAAAATCAAACCGTTGAACTACATAAAAAAAACCATCAAACATTCTTTTGTGGACCTCAAAACATCAGATTTTGTACCCTTTATTCGGTTTTACACCATGTGATCAGCAAGGTTCCTCTGTCCTCCTACTCCTCACTTTGATCAAATTAAAGACCAGAGACGAGGACTAGAGACGAGGGGAGGACAGATCAGTCATGGTCTCCAAGTCAAGCGATTCTGTGTCTAAATCCAGAGTCAGTTTCTCTGTTTCTCTTTCTCATAATCTTTAAAAATCTTTATAATTCTTCAATAGAAATTGTTTTGGGTATATTTCACGACTGATCACTGCAAGTCAGTAAGATTCTTGAGCATTCAGGCGATTTTTATTTAATCGATAATCCTCGTTAAGACAGAGAACATTTACTGGAATTACGATCGATGGGTATTTGTTTCTTTGAAAACTTTGCCTCGTATCCCGATATTATAACATGAAAGTTTGGAAATCAAGGCTGAATTTTGAGTCTTTATGGGAATTCGACAATTCTTCCTTTGCCAACTAGGGTTTCTGGCAATGCAAAAAGAAAAAAGGTTCCTCTTTCAATCTTTTTGGTAAAGTTTACCTATGTTTCGTTGCCGATACAAGAGAAGTCATGGTAATTTAGTTATGGTATGCCTTTATGTTCGTTTGGTATCTAGAAGTAAAAAATTCACATGGAGAAATATCAGACTCGTTGAGTTGGGGTCATATCAAACAGCTTTTTCGGATTGAATAACAAAGCTTTTCAGAAAAAGGAGGGGTTGCTCTTAAACTCTTAACCCACTTTCTTTTATGTCGGATATTCATCTAGTATTGAGGAACTCACAAAAAGCAGCGTGAATTTTTCCTTTGAATAATCATCACCTACTGTATCTTTTCACTTGATGTATTTTATTCTTCCATTTTGTTGACTGAAATCTCATGGAGAACAGGGGAGCGACGGTTTGGGAATGTTGACATATAAGTTAAATCAACTTAAAAAGCAAATTCAAGCAGCCAGGATTGTGTCAGTTAAGGTAAGTTTTTTTCGGTAAGTGAAAAGTTAAGGTAAATTGATTACATGAAAAGTAAGCTTTTTATGCCTTTCTAGTTTATTGGAACTCTAATGTCCAAGACGTTCTCCACTTACAATCAGTACAATCTTTCTATTAAAAATATTGAATTTTGATGCTTTTTAGTAATCTTTTTTCTTTTGCAAGTTTTTGAAAGCAAAGATGCATTTTCTTTTCGATGCCAACAGTTTCTCCAAAGAAATTTACTTTTAGCTATATCATGAGAAGCATGTTGTGGACAATGCACATTCAGATGTGGTAGGCGGTGTCATGGTCTTAGCATTTGCCAAAATTTGTTTCTTTTACCCTATGCAAAACAGGACCTATTACTTATTCTTCTTAACATTATTTAGATGAATTGAGCAGGTGGGCTCATACTGTCATAGTTGTATGACTTTTCATGTGAGCTTGTATAATCATGCACAATAATATGGTTTGGTTGTATGTTGTCTAGAATTTACCCTTTTAATGGTCTGATATATCACTATCTTGCTGCAAACACTTTTTTTTTTTTTGAGAATGAAAAAAATTAACTTGTCTCAACTTGTTTGTGCTTCTTATGCATCATGTTACATTATGTTTGGCCAATAACTATGAAAGACACACCTCAGTCAGATATATGCTACAATTTATTAGCATCTGCTTTGACTCTCATAACTGGAATTTGAGGACTTGAAATGTTCCCGCATGCAAGTTGATGTAGACAGAATGACAAAATACATTGTGTTGCTCGTTATGGCTAACCCATGCTTATCTGTCACACAGGAGAAACTTGAGAAGAATGAAATGAAGCTAGAAAGTGATGTTTTTTGGCTTCGTTCTGCCGCAACATCTAGGCATGATGTGCCATATGTGGAGAATGTTAGCTTAGGTAAATTGCTTTGTTCAAGAATTGAAAATCCTCTTTGCAAGATTAGCAGTCTTGCTCAAGGATCAGGAGACAAAGATTATGCTAGCTGTGAAGAAGTTGTTTGCTCGACAAGTGCCAAGCTTCCGCCTGTTGAGAAAATACCACCATACACTACTTGGATTTTTTTGGACAGGTGTGACAGTGTCAGATTTTTTTCCCTTTGTGGTAGTCAGAATTTAAAGGTATTGTTGTTCAGGTTGGTATATTAGATTCCTTTTTGCTATCTCAGTTTTGCTTTACACAGTGCAGAAATCAGAGAATGGCTGAGGATCAGTCAGTGGTTGGAAGAAGACGCATTTACTATGATCAGCATGGCAGTGAAGCACTGATCTGTAGTGACAGTGAGGAAGAGATTGCAGAACCAGAGCAGGAGAAACATGAATTTTCTGAAGGAGAAGATCGTGTCATATGGTAAGTACTAGTAAATCCAGGCATTTGTTTCTACAGAAAAATATCAAGCAGATTGGTGTTTCATCTCTAATGAGAAAGATTTTGTTGCTGTGATGCTTAATTTGAAAGCTGAATTCTGGTTTGTGTTTTTAACCGACATTGTCATCCTCTACTCAATGTACTGCATCGCCCCTTCCCCTACCACTGTTTTTCAATACATATTGTTCAGTAGGTTTGTTTTTGTCTTGTTATTTTAGCATCTTTGTGATTTTATATGTTTTCTATAGGATGCCAATTTTATTTTTTTTAACTTTTAATATATGGCTTTAAATGTTAATTTATAGTCATTTCTTGAACTAAAATGCACGTTCACTTTATATGGATTGGTTCTTTTCCGCAGAGTAGCATAGATTGTTGAAGTCCTGGAAGCCTTCAATTGGAGTGATTTGAGAACAAAAAATGATCAACTGAGAATTTGTACAGATTGGGCGTCTTACAATAATTCCACTCATGCTCTGTTTTTCTCCAAGTTTTCTTTTTGTCAAAAAGTGGAGTTTAATTTTTTTTTTTTTGACCTCACTCACCAAATTTTTTGTTTTGCGGAGGAAAGAAACAGTGGCAGTACTGTGACAGCTAAAAAATTATGAAAATTATGAAAATGGCAGTACAAGTACAAGTACAAGAAAAAACATGCTTGTCTGTCACACAGGAGAAACAGCGGCAGTACAAGTATGAAAATTATTTCTTAACTTATCATATCCAGAATTCCAGGATGCTTGATATTGTTTGTTTGATATGATTGTTCATATTTGTCTGCTATATATTTATAACCTTCAACTGCTGATTCAAGTATTAAAGTGTTCATTAGTTAAGTTTCGCAGGATGGCCTTTCAGGAGCATGATCTGGGTGATGAACTGGTTGACATTGTAATGCAATTTGTTGGAGGCAATTTTTCAGAAATCCGGGTAATTTTTGTTGGCTTGCATAATCTAGTCATGAGTTTTGAGCATGCTAGTTTTAATATCCTTTTTTTAATGTTATTATGCTACTTTACATGTCTTTGCTGTTTCCATCGTCTTGTGGCTGTTTTGTGCCTTGCTGAGACTACTATTTGTCACTATTATATGCAGGAGCGCTACGACATGCTCAAGGGAAAAAATAAGGAAAAACATGGGGATAAGTTGAAAGGTTCTGGGGAAATTGGGTCTGAAAAGAGCATATTTCTGGACAAAAGCCTTAGTGCTGCTTTAGATTCTTTTGATAATCTGTTCTGTCGCCGTTGTTTGGTACTTGAAAATTTGATTATCAATGGCATTACTCTATATGTTAACAGAGAATTAATAGTATCACTCTGTATCTGCATGATGCTTCACTGTCGCCCTTATTGCTTTCATCTAATTACCAGGTGTTTGATTGTCGTCTGCATGGCTGTTCTCAAAGTCTAGTTAACCCTGTAAGTGTGGTTCTGTTGCAATTCTTTTCAGATTATTTCGAAAAAAATTTAACTTGTTGACAATGAGAAATGTGTTGCTTGACAGAGGGAAAAACAGTCCTATTCATCTGAATCTGATGAGGATGGGAAACCCTGTGGTGATCAGTGTTACCTTCAGGTATGCCTTTCTTTTTTCTATGTGGATTGTTGTAAGTGACCACTTTTCCCACTCCCTACAAAATCCAGGAGGAAAGGAATAAAAAAATGTTTTTTCTCTAGAAAGCCTTGAGCTGTCATTTTAAGAATACTAGTAGGTGCCCATGTGCAAGAACTATTTTGAATATGAAATATTTACATATAAAAGTGGTGAATCGCAAAAGAGATTAGATCTAATAATGAGGTAAGGGGCAATTAACAAACAAAATAATAATACAAAAGTGGTGCAATCTTTTTTGGGTAATTGCTGATACACAATTTAATATATTAAGTGCACATATTTTGTTAGGGCAAGAGCTAACAATATATATGGTCAGGGGCGGACCCATAAAAAAATTTTAGGGTGGGCACACTTGTATGTTTTAATATTTTTTTAATAGACGCTAAAAGTTCATAAATTTATATTTATTAAAATTATATTTAATACTTTTTAAACATAAAAAATTAAAAATCGATATACATAACATGAACAAAAAAATAATAATTAAAACTTCTTATCGAGAATGCAATTAATTATTATTACTTATAATTGGTCGTGATATATTTTTATTATTTGAAAGAGTTACAAATTAATTTTATCAACAATATTTCTTTTATATATAAAATCACAGTAATAATCTTCCATTTAGGATCCTAAAATTTACTACATAATGACACATATTTTTATACAATAACGACATAACCCTACAATTTAAAAAAATTATAAAATAGTATTAATATATTCAAAACATATTCGGACATGTTTACAACATGTCTAAATGTTAACAATTATATTAGTTGTACTTAATTTGAAATTTAATTGATGAAAATTCAATGGTTTGTGACCATTGGATAGATAATATTAAATATTAAGACTCACTATTATACTTAATATCGCAATGTATTAGGTCCTTATATTAAGTTTCAATAACATTGTTCAGAAAGTTAACAATCATTTAGGTAGGGGTCTATTCAAATCAATGTCACCAGAACACAATATTAGGGTGGACACAATTAAATATGTCTAAATTTTATTTCAAAAAATACATGCTTAATATAAAGTAAAAAAATAAATAAAATTGAGGGGGGGCCAAAAGTTTTATTTTTTTAATAGGTTTGAGTGGATTGTGATAGGTCAAATATTTGATTTTTTAATAAGTTTGGGTAGATAGTAGAGGACTCAATTTTTTTTGTTTTAAATGCGTCTAATTTTTTAATTCTTTTGGGTAAATAATGTGGGTCTAACATTTTTATCTTGAGTTTTGGGTGGGCACAAATAATATATTATACGAATATATAATATATATACCTAACTAATAAAAAAAAAAAAATTGAGGGGGGGCACTTGCCCACCCAGGTCCATGCCTCCCTTCGCCCCTATATATGGTATAGTTATTTTTTACCTATAAGATTGATGTAAACTTGAAGAGATCAAGTCCTATTTTTAATGCTCTAACAAGAAAACACAAACATATTTTAGAGTCAAACAAGTTGGACAAACATGAAAAGCATCATATGCCAAACTACTGTTTACTTGAAGGGATCATATTAATTGACCCAAGTTTTGTCTTCTGATTCTCCCACAGATCATTTAGTGCAAGCAAACTGTCTTCTGCCCATCAAAAAATGAAATACCTACACATCTGATTACCAATGAGACTAACGTAATTGTCACTTCAATCACTAGGTCTATCCGATTGAAAATAAGTGATTTCTTCACACCCCATAGAAATTGATATTGGCTTGTCATCCTTGGAACCCATCTATTCTCTTCATATGCTAACTTACATGTAGAGGAGATATACCACCAAGACTATAACCTATAATTTGTATAATCAAAGAATAGCATTTCACTGTATTACATCAATGAGAATGGTTGTTGATGGTCATGGAAAAGCAAACTGGCCTCTAAGAAAAACCAATATTATAGTTGTAGAAATCATGTCACTAATTAGCATAACCAGTACAAAGGAGAAACGTCTTGTGATGTCGAACTTGTGCCACAAAGTCATAAATCACAATTTGAAAAACAAACACAATAAATTGCACGAGTAACAAGGCAATTGGTAAAAAGGAAAATTCAAAAAAAAAAAAGAAAAAAGAATAAAAATGTATGAAATGAATGATATAGAAAAGATTTATCTGAGCTATTTTAAGAATAGAAAGAGTACCACTCCAAGCAAAAGGAACATAGATAAATATTGATTTATGAATATTTATGTTTAGAATCCATAGGGTCACTTTGTAACCATTTGAAACTTTTATTTTTAGAATTTTAAGAGCCGAACCCCTAAATTACGATAGTGATTATGTCAGAAGGAGACTTTAAAATATTAAATAAGTGTAAAACAAAAAAAAATAAAAGTTTTTCAAGTTATTTGGCATTTATATATAGTATTGGCATTCATATATAGTATAGTATAAATTTAAAATAAATGTAGAAACACTTATAGATAAACAGATAGATTACAAAATTAGGATATGTCTACGGTACCAAAAGTTTTTTTGGGTATCTGTTTGGACCTAAAATATAAAATTATAAGAATGTTCGATGCATTGACATCTGGCAAATTTGAAGGCATTAATAGGAGGCCACGTGGTAGGATTTGAAGAAAGGCGAAAAATGATTATTCACAACCTTGCTTTAAAAGGAGAAATAATTGCGTCAGATAACCGTCGATAGAGGCAAAACCGTTAAAGATAATGGTTATAAAAGGCAGACAATGGAGAAGTTGGACACATTCAAACCCCCACAAGACCTACGATCTAGGTATTTTTAGGAGTAGTTTTAGATTAGTATTAGACTAGTAATTACTGTTGTGATCAGAGGTTGTTAATTCAGTCTTTTTAGTAACTGAAATCCCTTTGACTGAATTAATAAATAAAATTTCTTTTCTTAATTCATTGCACTGTGCAATTATCCCCATAAAATTCATCCAAGTAAGTCCTAAAATAAGGTAATTGAATCCATCAAAAACAATCTCTAAAAAAGTGTCTGTCAATCGAGCTTTCTTTATCGATAACAATAAATTTTGAAGCAACAGTATCATTCTAAAAAATATAATATTTGGGGTTAAGTTATAATTTTTTGATGTGTTTAAAATCGATTCTAAAATTTTAGGATCAAACTCAACATTTAAGTTCAATACTTTAAATATTTGGAAAAAAATTGTAAATTGACATCCGAAGTTTTTTTTTTATAGGATCGAACATAAAATGTAATGACATATATATATATAAAATAAATCAGCTAGCAAGTTGAATCTTTATCCCCTATACATTTTTTACCCAAAAAATATCATATCACTCAATTCTATCACATGTTCAAGTATCTAATATTTAGTTAATTTGTAGTTTAACATAATTTTTATTTCATACACAATACTGTACACATGTTGAAAAAAATTTATCAAGTTATTTTGAGAAATTTTTGACATTATTTTTAAGAAAATAATTAGTAGAAATTAATTTTAAATGATGTAAACAAAGAAATTAATTTTAAATTTAGTATAGTGGAATGAATTTTTTGAACGTTAGAATTTTATATTTTATCGTGTCTTCAGGCACGGGTTATGAGTAATATATAATAAATCACATAGGAAGTTGAATTTTATCCCCTACATATTTTTTCCCTAATTCTATCACATCACTCATTTTATCACATGCTCAATCATTTAATTAATTTATTATTTAACATAATTTTTATTTCAGATATTATCTATATAAGATAGTATACACATGATAAGAAAATTTTGTCGATATTTTTAAGAAAATAATGGGTAAAAATAAATTTTAAATAATGTAATCAAATAAATGAAGAGAAAAAATTATTATCTAATTTAGTGGAATCGATTTTTTTGACCGCTCGAATTTTATATTTGTTGGCACAGGATATGACTAATATATATATGATTTAAGGATAAAATCTGTTATTTTCGATATGATACTTCATTTAGTAGCATAGTCTTAATACGCCATCAAATTAGAAGAGATATTGGAGGATAATTTGGATAATTATGTCTAGAAAGGCATAATAGTAATTTGAATACTTAAATGCAAATGGATACAATAGCTTTTATATTATTTGATAAGGATAAAATAGCTAATCAAAAGTTTTTCATGTTAAGGTATTTTTACTAGTAGTGTAGATAATACCATTTTATATGTCTTGTCTCGTAATCGACTTGAACATACACTTTTTTAGTGTTATCTATTCTTAGAAACCTCATAATTGAGTTGTGGTTGTATTAGTACTCTCAATGGCCCATTCTGTGTTTGCCGTTTTCATGATGTGTTGATTGGCATGATTTAAAGTCATTCTGAAAGAATTAATATAGACTATTTTTTCAGTTGAGTTAGTCTTGTAGGGATTGTAAATACTAATACACTTTTGAAATGCCAGTTTACAACCAAATGGTCCAAACCTCTTGTCACTGACAATTCATGATGTGATCTCAGTAGGGAACATTTGGAGTTGTGAGTCCTTGGGTGTCTTCTCTTGTAAATCTTATTTTGAATCCTTGGTTGATGATATTTCATTCCCATTATTCCATTCTTCTTTCAAGATTTGGAAAGCCCATATTCCTTTACAAGTGAAAATTTGTGCATGGATAATTTGTCTTTCTCTACTCTGGTGTGTTATGTGATGTGCAAAGGGGAATGCGACGTTTGTTGGCCTTTGTTGGGTGGCTCCGAGATCAATGTCATCTATGTTTTGTTTAGATTTTAATGGGTTGGGAGGAAATAGAAAAGAATAGACCCTTTGGAATTGTGCCTTCTTGCTACTATTTGGGTTGTATGGAAGGAGAAGAATGCTAGAATCTTTGATGAAAATTCGGAGGAAGTTGAGTGGTTATGGGATCGGATTCATTTCTTGGCTTTGTTTTGGGCATTGGTGACTAAGAACTTTGATAATACTCCGCTATCTAGCCTTACGGCGAATTGGAAAGCATCATGTGATTTGTAATTTGGATTCATTGCTCATCTTCTGCGTTGTTTTGACTTTGCTTTTATTTTTCAATGGGTTGGACAACTTGTCAACCTCTGAAGGGTTATTGCATCAGTTTTCTCACTTTTATTATTAATAAAATTGTTGTTTCTTATCAAAAAAATATATTGTCAGTCTTAAAAGTTTAAACTTTTGGGGCCAGTTTTATGAATATTCTTATCACACTGTTTCATCCTGGACCATCCAATTTTTTATTGCCTCATCTTGGGATCACAAATTTTTGGACTTTATGCTTAGAACGATTGAACTAAATATTTTTGCTGGTTGTTTGTCTAATACAATTGATTAACTCTTCTTTGCTTTTGGTTTGCGACCTGCTGTCCTATGAGGCAAAGAATCACCAAAGAATGGCTATTAATTTTCTTAAAAAATTCACTGTAAGCTATGTTTTGTTTGGGGAAGGGGGAATTTTTGAAAAACAGTAACATGTAATGTGCCTATGAGGTATTTTTTTTACTATCATCCTCGTAATTTTTATCATATGGGCTTAGAACTAAGTCCGTTATCTAGTTGGCTAATATTGTTTTGTTTTATTTGTCTTCAGTTAAAAGATGTCAAAAATTTGCCAGAATGTTCGGTTACCAATCCCCTGCATAGAATTATAAGTGAAAATTCAGTAGATGAAAGTGGGCCTCCAATCTCCCTGAATGCTGAAGAGCAAGGTGATGACTTTATTGTTCTTGATTATGATGGCATTGCTGTAAAAAAAAATGCTGATTTCCTTCGAATTTTTCACCATTTAAAGTTGTTGGGATTTATTTCTATGAAATCCTTTTTTTTTTATGTGGCAGTGCCCCATTATGAGAATACAGGAAAGCGCAAATTCTCAAAGGATAAAAACACAGTACAAGAAGCCCCGATGCTGGGTTCTGATGACTTGGAAGGTTTTTCCAGTAAGAAACAGAAGAAATTATCTGCTCCAAATGTAGTTACTGTGACTACTGAAGGTAGTCCATCTCTGGATCAAAGTTCCTGTGCCAAAAGCAAGGACCTGGAATTTGAGGCACCCCGTGAAAATGAACCTTGTATTTCTACTGAAGTCGCTACAGGTGGTAGTTCTTCTGAACCTCATTTAGAAGAAGGTAGTTGTCATACTAGTGATTTGGGGAACAAGATTGAATACAGTATGAGAGGTGAAACAAAAGTTACTGCAGAAGTGCCTACACTGGAGCAGTCATTCAATCTCATGGTAGGACAAGATAAAATGGCATTAGGCAGCTGCGAGTGGAAACCTCTTGAGAAAGAACTATACATGAAGGGAGTAGAGATATTTGGGAGAAACAGGTTAGAAACCTTCGTTAGAAGTAATCCTTTTTGTTAATTTCTTTACTTGTGAGATATAAATCGTGGCTACGGCCTACGGGTGATTGCATTCAGCCTGAATTTTGATTGGTGAACAACTTTGTTGTGTTCTAATTGAATTTGTCCACACTTTCCACTGTATTTTGTCCTAGTATCTTCAAATCATTGGAAGAATATAATTCTTGAATTATTAGCAGAAACAAATATGGAAATAGCGTGGTACAAACTATGGCACCTTTTCATGTCTAGTTAATGCTGTTAACGAACGTTAAAAAAAAAAAAAGGAAAGATAAAAAATATGGGCCTTTTAGGCATTCTGTTTCCCCCTACTTGTTCAAGCTTCGCAACAAGGAGCATTTCATTAATTTCATGAGCACTTCGCCACATCTAGGAATGCATGGTTCATAGTACAACCTTATGTATTTGGTTGTTGGATGCGTTTGTAGTTTGTGTGAGTAGAACAAGCACTTTTGAATACCTAAAATAATGCCATTTTAATACCATGATAATGAGTAATGACAGGAAATTTCTAAGATTCAACATATTCTATGGACTGATCTTTTCATTTAGTTGGATAAATTGTGAGAGTATATACAAGCTTCTAGGTAATTGTAGTTTAACTGGAAGTTGGGCTCCATTTTCAGACGTAAACTTGACAAATGCATTCTTAAGATACAATACTTGGTCAACTAGCAAAACAAAACCAAGGGTCCAAATATTTGTGGACCTCACTTTCAAATCATTACAACTACAATATTTCTCCTATTTAAATTTGTTTTTTTTAATCTTTGCATCCATCAATATGTTCATGGGTAAAAGATCCGATCTTGGATGTGTACAATCCAGAAGTTAATTGTAATGGTGGACTCTGCAAAATACTTTCATAGCCGAAAATTGTGCAAAGCGCTTTATGCATGTCCAATATAGTATCACGTTGTTTCATGCACACACTATACTTGATAAGGTTGGGTTTAGTGTATTTGCATCTGCTAGATAGTTCTATAGCCTGTGTACAAAATACTATATCATTTTGTGATATGTTGATCTAAATATAACATTCATATTTTCAGTTGCCTCATAGCCAGGAATTTACTTTCTGGCTTGAAGACTTGCACAGAGGTATCCAGTTACATGTGTGCTAATGGAGCAGCAATGCCTCACGGATCTATTATTATTCCAACCTCATGTTCAGATGACAATGCAAAAGCTGATACTGAGCATTTGGTTTGTGCTTCTATCCTTTTTGACTCCCTTCTTGAAAGTCATTGAGCGAATCTGGTATTCTTGCTTCTATGCCATAACCGGCAATAGTAAACCAGCTAAGCTTGTGAGAATCCTCTGTATCAGTTTGAAGCAGCATTGCCTTCTGTTTTGGTTGACAAGGAAAGGAAGGATACTCATAAAGTTGAATAACACTCCTTTTTATATAATGGTGTATCACAACTTTAGGAAAATTGGTATAATGCTGCATCCAGGATTTTGGGGTGAGTTAAAATTGTGTAAAGCCTTTAGGATTACGTTTTTAATAAGTATGAGAAAAGCTGTAAGGTTCATTGTTGGAAGAGATTAGACTTGGCTTTTTGGGGAAGTGATGGGTCTCAGGAAAGAATGGAAAAGAATGTTTGAATTTTCTGGACAGCGAGTGTTTCAGGTTTTAATTTTGAAATTGAAGGCTAACAGCAAAGGGAATGGGTTTGGAGGAGGTGCATAGTCCAAATCCCTGTTGATACATGGGTGCATTTATATATATAGACTACTCTGATGATTTTTGGCTTACTTCCATTTTGTGACATGTATATTTGGTTTTGTTAGGAGAGAGAGCTGCCAACAAGATCACGGTTGCTTCGAAGAAGGGGCAGAGCACGGAAGCTTAAATATTCTTGGAAGTCTGCTGGACACCCGTCAATGTGGAGAAGAATTGCAGATGGGAAAAACCAGTCTTGTCAGCAATACATGCCTTGTGGATGCCAGTCTATGTGTGGAAAGCAATGCCCTTGTCTAAGTAATGGCACTTGCTGTGAAAAATATTGTGGGTATGTTAATTTGTATATTATGTAGGTCAATGCTTACACACCAACCTCTTTCTAAGGTGTTTATGTTATTGAGTAACTGGGTTAAGGGTTGATTTGATCCTAAACAATTGTGTTTGATGACTTGAATTTCCTTATGTTGCATTTCCAAGAAAACTTTCAAGTACATGAATTCAGTAGGATCTTTAATGCTAGTGGAAATTCCTTTAGTTGCATTTCATCACCTGAACAAATCTATGTTTTGACTCAGCCACCGAGCTTTATATTTTCAGGTGTTCAAAAAGCTGCAAAAATCGGTTCAGGGGATGCCACTGCGCTAAGAGTCAATGCAGAAGCCGGCAATGTCCATGCTTTGCTGCTGGACGTGAGTGTGACCCAGATGTTTGTAGAAATTGTTGGGTTAGGTAATGAGTTTCCTCAAAGATGTGTGTGTGTGTGTGCATGTGCGTGCATTAGTTTCCTTAGATGTCCGTGGTTTGTTGATTTTCCCTTCTACTTTGGGGCATGATTGTGTGACAGATGCTCTATGTCTAGCGGAACTCATCATTTGTTCTTGTACTGTATTATGAAGAATGATCATGCTTCAAAGACTTGAAGAATGAATTATAAAAACTATCCTGACCACATTTCTAGATAAACTCTACATAGGCATTATTCAACTGGCCTCTTACTTCTATATTTTATTTTCTTACATAGTTCGGGGAGGAAGTCCCTTGTTGGCAGTTATGATATAGGATGTTTTGGTATTGAATTATTTTCCTAGACAAATCTTGTTTACTCTGTTTTTTTTTTTTGGGGGGGGGGGTTGGTTGGGGGGAGAGATGACAACTGTTGTTTTAATGCTTGGTGCATCTAAGAAGAACCTGTTTTATTTTTTCATTATTGACACCATTGGTAACCTAAATTTCGCCACTAGTTTGACTCAAGTTACTAATGTTTCATTTTTCCCAATTAGGTCTTAAAAGTTGGGCCTCTGGTTGCAAGTTGCAACTTTCATTTAATCAAAGACGGAGAATACCACATACAAGACACAAGTAGCTGACCATGGGCATTGGGGGAATTTTTTTCTATTTCACCTTCCAACCAGCCCGAACCACCCCCATCCCATCCCACTCCTCTGGCAATCCCCAACCCCAACCATCTGCTACTGGCACCAAACCCTCAATCAAGTCTACGTTTGCCCCAACCCAGTACCTAGACTCCTCCTCCTCCACCCGCAAGTCCATCAACTTCATCACCAGGCTCCTACACTTCACACACCACTACCCATCTCACTGCCACCCCCACACCACAAGCATCAAATTTCTCACATACACCCACACAAATTAACTACAAAATTGAGAAGGTTTTGTTGAAAAATTTCTTACTTTGTGCAGCTGTGGAGATGGTTCACTAGGTGAGCCACCCAAACAAGGAGATGGCCAATGTGGAAACATGAGGCTCCTTCTAAGGCAACAACAAAGGGTGATCTATCACATGCGTTTTAATATAAAATTAACTATGGTAGTGATTTTGAAACTTTTTATGCCCTTATATGCTTCCTTTCAGATCCTCTTGGCAAAGTCTGATGTGGCTGGCTGGGGAGCCTTTTTAAAGGTGAGAAACAAAGTGTCCTTTTGGTTTTCTGTGCTTGCTTTCCAATTCGTGTTAGTAATTTTGATTTGGTGGTTTTAGAACCCTGTCAACAAAAATGATTATCTTGGAGAATACACTGGTGAACTAATCTCGCATCGGGAAGCAGATAAGCGTGGGAAAATTTATGACCGTGCAAACTCATCATTCCTCTTTGACTTGAATGATCAGGCAAGTGACATCTATCAGTGGAACAACTTCATTAGACTCCTTCTACACATTGTCATTTAGAAAAATGGGCATAAATCAAATTAATTGCATATACTTAGGAGTTAGGATTATTATGAATTTATGATATTACTTTGTTTAATATCACTTGTTAAGCTTTNTTTTTTTTTTTTGGGGGGGGGGGTTGGTTGGGGGGAGAGATGACAACTGTTGTTTTAATGCTTGGTGCATCTAAGAAGAACCTGTTTTATTTTTTCATTATTGACACCATTGGTAACCTAAATTTCGCCACTAGTTTGACTCAAGTTACTAATGTTTCATTTTTCCCAATTAGGTCTTAAAAGTTGGGCCTCTGGTTGCAAGTTGCAACTTTCATTTAATCAAAGACGGAGAATACCACATACAAGACACAAGTAGCTGACCATGGGCATTGGGGGAATTTTTTTCTATTTCACCTTCCAACCAGCCCGAACCACCCCCATCCCATCCCACTCCTCTGGCAATCCCCAACCCCAACCATCTGCTACTGGCACCAAACCCTCAATCAAGTCTACGTTTGCCCCAACCCAGTACCTAGACTCCTCCTCCTCCACCCGCAAGTCCATCAACTTCATCACCAGGCTCCTACACTTCACACACCACTACCCATCTCACTGCCACCCCCACACCACAAGCATCAAATTTCTCACATACACCCACACAAATTAACTACAAAATTGAGAAGGTTTTGTTGAAAAATTTCTTACTTTGTGCAGCTGTGGAGATGGTTCACTAGGTGAGCCACCCAAACAAGGAGATGGCCAATGTGGAAACATGAGGCTCCTTCTAAGGCAACAACAAAGGGTGATCTATCACATGCGTTTTAATATAAAATTAACTATGGTAGTGATTTTGAAACTTTTTATGCCCTTATATGCTTCCTTTCAGATCCTCTTGGCAAAGTCTGATGTGGCTGGCTGGGGAGCCTTTTTAAAGGTGAGAAACAAAGTGTCCTTTTGGTTTTCTGTGCTTGCTTTCCAATTCGTGTTAGTAATTTTGATTTGGTGGTTTTAGAACCCTGTCAACAAAAATGATTATCTTGGAGAATACACTGGTGAACTAATCTCGCATCGGGAAGCAGATAAGCGTGGGAAAATTTATGACCGTGCAAACTCATCATTCCTCTTTGACTTGAATGATCAGGCAAGTGACATCTATCAGTGGAACAACTTCATTAGACTCCTTCTACACATTGTCATTTAGAAAAATGGGCATAAATCAAATTAATTGCATATACTTAGGAGTTAGGATTATTATGAATTTATGATATTACTTTGTTTAATATCACTTGTTAAGCTTTGTATGGTGTGGTTTGGAGATTTCTGCCCACAGTTGCCAAATATCAAAATGAATTTGGATAAGCTATTGCGAAGAATAGTAATAGAAAAATTACCCCAATTTCATCTTAGCTTTGCGGCTGAATAAGCCTTGTTGTGTTGGGTAGAGGATCCTTCTTTAGTCTCTTTCTGATGCCATATTCTTGGTTAATTGTTAGTATGTATAACATATTGCTTTGTTTTTTACAGGGTCATCATAACCTTTCTCATAGACTCGACCCACTTTCTTAACTTTTTTTGTCCCTTTTGGCACTGCCTTTCTGTTCAATTTCAGTCAGTGCTACTTTTAGCACTTCATTAATGCATTCATTTCTTATTTATTGTTTCTCGTATATTTGGAAAATTTTATCTTGGGACATATGATTCCTTAATTACCCAACATCTTCTTCCAGGAATATATAACTGGCCTTTTGACAATTTTCCAAATTCTTATATTTATTCTGAGATGACAAAATACTCCAAACAAGTTTCTTTGAACATCACTTATTACTCTGTCTCCAGTGTAATTCTTGACCTTGTTACACATATCATCCTTCATATTGTGGCATCTGATTAGAATATATCCCCAATAGCTTAAGTGACAATAGGCTCAGTCAGCTTATAACATCTACCGGGACTCTTTTTTACCTTCATTTATTTCTGACTTAATGACTTAATAAATACCATGGGAAAGTCTTTTATATTTTTCTTGAATTTTAAATTAATCATATAAGTATCTTCCACAGTTGATCTTCCTGGCACAATGATATTGAGTTTTAAATCATTATTGTCTGAAAATCTTGGTTTTTTTTATGTTTTTACCTGTTGTCCATTTACTATCATTTTCAAGTAACTAGGCAATGTAGCAGACGTAAAATTTAGATGAAAGGGTAGAACCAAATTAATTTCATTCCTGGAAAATTGGTCAGCACTTATTAGGGGCAAGATGGCAGAATCAGCCAAAATGGTTTGGCCATATGCATTGAAGACCAATCCCTGCGCTAGTGCCAAGACTGACATGATTAAGGCAGAGGATGAACATAAGCAGATAATAGAGCAAAAAACAAGAAAAGAAAATAGCAAAAGGGATGAGATTATGAGGAAGTGATGATTGTATGATTAGGGTTGAGTTTGTTATAGCTTCAGTTCATCCTAAACTTGACTGATAATAGCATCCTCTTCTTTTTGTTTCTTTCTTTCTTTTTCTGTTCTTCTTTCTTTTCTTTTTTTTTGTTTTTTTTTTGCCTTCTTTGTGGAATACAGAATAGATAATAATGATTTCATTGACAGTATGATAAGTTGGAATACAGTTTTTTTCTCATATTCATATAAGAAAACATTGTTTATCATGTGATATATGGAGCTATCACCGACTGTTGCAACGAGCTTTTTTTTTTTTTATGAAACACACAAGAGGATGCATGCATATTTTGAAATTACGTTACCCAACTCTGTTGTAACTAGTTTTTAATAAAGAAAAGAAGCACTGCATTGCGTAATTGAAATCATTATCTTTACAGGGAGTTTTTGCAATTTTAATGTATCTGTAGGCAAACTCATTAACCTCACAGTCAATAACCCTGCCAATGATATATATACCGCTAGGCCATAACTTTTTCCGTGTATCTGATTGCGATATGCATAAAAAATCAATGACAACAGTAAGAAATCATCAGCTAAAAGAAAAATACAACTCAATTAAAGGAATTTAAGGAGAAGAAACATACAACTGAAATTGAATATTAATTGGATACTTTATGATTGCGGTGTATAGTATTAAACATGTGTGAATCCTTTTTCCCTCCCCTTTTAATTTTCAAGTTGTATTAACCAACCAGTTCCTGCTTGCATCTGATCTCCTCTTCTTTCCCACTTAATTCTACTTGCACATAGCAACACACACACACGCTCACTGCAATGCAACTGAAGAAAGAGAGCAGAACTGTGTAGCTACATACCGTCTCATTAAAATCATTGGAAACCTCACAGAAACTGTATGTTCTTCACAGTATGTCCTTGATGCTTATCGCAAAGGAGACAAACTGAAATTTGCAAACCACTCGTCAAACCCCAACTGTTATGCAAAGGTATGCAGGGGTCTATTTGTTTCCCTGTTTCATTAGCTCTATTGATTAAGCTGCTAATATGGTTTTGATTCAGGTAATGCTGGTCGCTGGCGATCATCGAGTTGGCATTTTTGCCAAAGAGCATATTGAAGCTAGTGAGGAGCTCTTTTATGATTATCGCTATGGGCCTGATCAAGCTCCTGTTTGGGCTCGGAGACCTGAGAATTCAAAGGGTGATGATTCGTCAATTAATCAAGGTCGAGCAAAGAAACACCAATCTAATTGATGAAACTTCTTTGTGGTCTTCAATGTACAAAGTTTTTTTCCCGAAAACTGCAGAATAGGATTATTGTTATGTCTGTTGTGAGCTGTCAATAGTAAGTACAAGATGCTGGTAAGTATGCTTTTTTATTGTTAAGGTCAAAACAAAACATTTATTTCAAAATAATGTACATAGAAAATCTCCAGAAATTCTCAATACCATAGATTGGAAATAAGAGTGTAGCAATTTCTGTACCAGAGGCATGTATTATTTTTTAAGTCAGATGGCAGCAATGCAAGAAATTTAACTTGTCACGTTGTTGTGTATTGTGTGCTGTTTTTTGTGGTAGTGATACAACATGATACATGTCGAACTAGCCTAATTTGAGAAATTGTCTTCCAGAAAACCGTCCAATCATTAAATTCGGAAGATGCTGGAATTTTTTTTCCCCACAAACATCATGTGTGTTTAAAACAACCTCGCTTGTTTTTGACAATCTTATGGAGGTTGCTTACTGCTCCTTGTTGTAAGGTGTTGGAGGACCAAATCTGCTGCTTCTAAAGATGTGGGCGTTCAGGATCGAATTTTCTTCGGGTTTGGTTGGTGTTACTGGGTATGTAATTCTCATGTTTGCTTTAATTGTGCTTTTTCCTTTTTTTTTGTTTTATTGTAGCTTGTGTGGTTTTTCGGTCCCTTTTTTTCGGGTGCAGTAATCTTTTACAAGGTTCTTTGACCACTAATGTTATTGGGACATAATGAAGTATCACCAANTAATTGGATACTTTATGATTGCGGTGTATAGTATTAAACATGTGTGAATCCTTTTTCCCTCCCCTTTTAATTTTCAAGTTGTATTAACCAACCAGTTCCTGCTTGCATCTGATCTCCTCTTCTTTCCCACTTAATTCTACTTGCACATAGCAACACACACACACGCTCACTGCAATGCAACTGAAGAAAGAGAGCAGAACTGTGTAGCTACATACCGTCTCATTAAAATCATTGGAAACCTCACAGAAACTGTATGTTCTTCACAGTATGTCCTTGATGCTTATCGCAAAGGAGACAAACTGAAATTTGCAAACCACTCGTCAAACCCCAACTGTTATGCAAAGGTATGCAGGGGTCTATTTGTTTCCCTGTTTCATTAGCTCTATTGATTAAGCTGCTAATATGGTTTTGATTCAGGTAATGCTGGTCGCTGGCGATCATCGAGTTGGCATTTTTGCCAAAGAGCATATTGAAGCTAGTGAGGAGCTCTTTTATGATTATCGCTATGGGCCTGATCAAGCTCCTGTTTGGGCTCGGAGACCTGAGAATTCAAAGGGTGATGATTCGTCAATTAATCAAGGTCGAGCAAAGAAACACCAATCTAATTGATGAAACTTCTTTGTGGTCTTCAATGTACAAAGTTTTTTTCCCGAAAACTGCAGAATAGGATTATTGTTATGTCTGTTGTGAGCTGTCAATAGTAAGTACAAGATGCTGGTAAGTATGCTTTTTTATTGTTAAGGTCAAAACAAAACATTTATTTCAAAATAATGTACATAGAAAATCTCCAGAAATTCTCAATACCATAGATTGGAAATAAGAGTGTAGCAATTTCTGTACCAGAGGCATGTATTATTTTTTAAGTCAGATGGCAGCAATGCAAGAAATTTAACTTGTCACGTTGTTGTGTATTGTGTGCTGTTTTTTGTGGTAGTGATACAACATGATACATGTCGAACTAGCCTAATTTGAGAAATTGTCTTCCAGAAAACCGTCCAATCATTAAATTCGGAAGATGCTGGAATTTTTTTTCCCCACAAACATCATGTGTGTTTAAAACAACCTCGCTTGTTTTTGACAATCTTATGGAGGTTGCTTACTGCTCCTTGTTGTAAGGTGTTGGAGGACCAAATCTGCTGCTTCTAAAGATGTGGGCGTTCAGGATCGAATTTTCTTCGGGTTTGGTTGGTGTTACTGGGTATGTAATTCTCATGTTTGCTTTAATTGTGCTTTTTCCTTTTTTTTTGTTTTATTGTAGCTTGTGTGGTTTTTCGGTCCCTTTTTTTCGGGTGCAGTAATCTTTTACAAGGTTCTTTGACCACTAATGTTATTGGGACATAATGAAGTATCACCAATGAAATGTATTTAATGATGAGTCTCATTGTAGCATTAAATGAATTCATTATCATATCATTAGTGACAACTCATTATGTCCCCATAGCATTGCTCTTCTTTGACTCTTGTATCCTACAAAATGAAATGAAGTTCTTCCTTGTCACCCGAAAATAGGACACTGAAAAACAGAAATGTCACTAGTTTGTGATGTTTTTCCCCAATGAATGGGGCACAATCAAAGCAAGATCTGGTTTCCAAAGCAATAAAATGGCATTTCCCATTGCCAGTAGCTTCTGTAAAGATTTAAAACAGCAAAAAATGGTTTAGGTTTTCAGATGGTTCGCTCTCAAACCAAGCTCCCAGTGAAATGATCGAGTTCCCCTATATATAGGAAATGCTTATTGTACTGATCGGTAAAACGGGAATTAACGAAAATTTGGTGCCTACCATGGGCTAGCATGCTAGGCAATTGGACCAATACATGACTTTTGACAGATTGAACAGTTGAATAGGATGTGTAACACTGAAGAGCTGCCGTTTACAAGCAAGTTGAAGGTAAATAAGAAAATTTACATGATAGCCTGCAAAAGAAATGAAAGATTGTGTTGAAGATGAGAAATACAAATCACTTCATTCTGCAGAACTCCCTCTTCTTCCTAGTAGCAAATGAAAATATAACAATTCATTCCATGTATCTGGAACACCAGGTAGACACCAGTGGCTGCAATCTTGAACACGTGAAGTGTATCCCCTCTCATATTTCCTTCCGTATACAGATGGATGACCATCTACCCTATAGTCTGATAGAGTAGTTATATTTAAGAATGTCACAGGAGTTTTCATCTGCCTGATGACCTCCTCTGCAATGACGTTCTTTTCAGGGTAATCAATACTTGTTTGATTATTGGGTCGTGAAGCTTCTTTGCAGTTGCCACCGGCATTCCATTGACCTCCCCTGTCAGAAAAATTAGTCAGCTGGTGATATGAGAGAAAAATCATCAATACCTTGCTTGTGGTAGTACAAGGGCAAAACCTGAAATGGGAAGGTGCAGAACTTCGAAAGAAAACTTGGGTTTTGCGTGGATTGATATATTTGTCAACCCATGATGCCCAAGTTATCAAAGCTCTTCGGAAAGCCATTGAAACATCAAGAGTTGGATGAACTCGGTCCCTTTCCTGGTAGTAGTTAATCCTGTAATGAGACACTACGTATAATAAAACACTTCGAAGTTTATCTAGCCACAAGTAATCATTATAATGCATATGATATATAATATTTATAATCCAAGACAGGCCTATTTCCGCTGTAGTTTATTCTTTGCATTAAATCCTATCATCTCATGGCATGAAGTGGATGGGGCAAATAGTGGTGTGGACTTCAGCTACCATGAGGTGAACTCTGCTTGTTCAAGAATCCAATTAAATCACCAGTAAATGAGAATTGAATGTCACCTCTAAACCACCTTCATGAAAATGTCACACTTAGATAATCTTGATTCTTGCCTAATGTTCAAGCAAATGCACAGTCAAGTTGGCATAGTTTATCAGCCTAGGTCATGATAGTACATAATTTGAGGATGGCACTCACCCAGCTCTTGTTTTGTAATGGCTCCACCAATGTGCAGTGTTGAAGACCAGAATATCAGCTCCTTTCCATCTTGATGATCCCCTATCCATAGTATCAATACGCAATGTCTGCACCCGTTTCTTGCCAACCCTTGCCTTACTCTCATGTACTAAAAAATGGGTCACATAGTATTCAATTGTACACTTAAAATCCTGAAAAAAGATATACCTCACCCATCAAACACTGCATATTGCCATACACACAAGACAAAACACGCTGAGAAACAGTTTCACAGTAGTACCACAAACTTGAAGCTATAATTTCCCTTTTCTTTGGTGATTCTTCGCCCATGGGTCTCATAGACCCTCTTTGGATCTTTGATAGCTCCCATTAACAAACACAGCATGGACTCCCATTGATTCCTATTGATAGAATCACCCACGAAAACTAATCTTTTTCCTTCGATTAATTCTAGCATTTTTGTTGCATTGAACCTGTTAATCCACAACACAGTCATATATCCCCTCTTGTTTTTCTTGTTGAAATTTGAGTTTCAAATAAGACAATAATTAATTTACAAAACCCAACCCATTTCTCCTGAAAAATCAACAAGGTTAATTGAAATGTATTCCAAATAAGTCATCACAGTCAAGAATTACCTAGGAATGCCACAATCTTGCAGTTGCCAGTGAAATTTGAGATTCAAATCAGATAACTACTAGTTGAGAAAACCTAGCTAAATTTTCATGTAACATCAACATGGCCAATTAAAACGTACCCCAAATAAATCATTCATAATTAACAATGACATAAAAACAAGAAATACCTAGGAATGTCACAATCTTGCGGTTGCCACCTCCATTTCATGTAGCCTTTATCCAATCTTCCGTTAGCTTCACAATTGAATCCTTCATCTATGAAAGGACATGAAGCATTTGTGTACAAAGGGTAGCTCTCATCAAAAACCCACCTTCCTCTTTTGACATCACAAATTCTTTTCCTCCTCTCTTCAATCCTATCACTACTTGATACTTCTATTTTTCCCGGGGAAGTATCAAACACTATTTTTAGGGTACCGGTTGAATTACCATTTACAGCATCAACTTTGTACATTTCAGCATCTGACGCTTGAGACGTATTTTCCATTCTCTGAAGCCCCTCAAAAACTAAATCATTAGCCAACCCAGAAGCATTTTCTGTTCTGCCGAACTGAGTAACGATCAGAATTGAATTGTTTACACTATTTGCTGAAAGATTTCCAGTAAAAACAGTCAGATTACCATTTACAGCATCACCTTTATTTACATCATCATCTTGCGTTTTAGGCAAACTTTGCTTTTTTTGGAGCCCCTCAAAATTCGAAATCTCGGAGGTACTTTCAGGTCTCCTGAAATGGGCACCAAACAAAATTGAATTTTTCACTTCACCTGCCGAATAATTTCCACCGGAATCAGTCAAAGACTGAACGGTTAAGGGTTTGAGACCCAGAGTAAGCGAAGATTTGTTGAACTGAAGATGGGTTTCTTGATGGACTGAGGGGGTTACTTTGAAGACCCAAATGGAGAAGAAGGTGAGAAAGAATAGAGAGAACGAGATTGTGAAAGAAAACAGCAAGAATCTAGTGGGTTTGATTGAGAAACTTCTCTGCTTCTCCATTTATACTTGATTGTGACTTCAAAGGATAGTCGAGAAATAGTCTCTGTAGGAGTTGGAAGTGTAAAGGACTACACATCACACATGCACTTGTGTGATGAAGAAGAAGATATAGAAAAGAATTTCAAATAGAGGAGACACCGACGGAGAAGAGAAGCAGGCAACGACGAGTAGGTTCAGAATCAGTTTAGAGTGATGGGGGAGAGGAGAAAGTGGGGCAGTTCGTGAGCATTTGTTTTTTTGGGTTAATCTCATTTCGCACTCCTTCTAATTTTAATTTATATTTTCAAAGATTAAAAATTTTAATTTATTCTCAAAGATAGAAAATTATATTAATGTATACCCTCAAAGATCAAAAATCTCAATTTGTACCCTCAAAGATAAAAATTTATATCAATATACACCCCCAAAGATCAAAAATCTCAATTTGCACCCTCAAAGATAGAAATCTGTATTAATGTGCACCTAAAACTAAATTTATAAATTATACCTAGATTCCCTCATGTTTGTCACTTAATCATTTGAACCCCTTCACATTTAGAATATTACCCCTACATCTCATAACATTTGTACATGTGTAAACATAACCACTTTTTGTTGATATCTATTAATATAATCGTTAAAGAATATGATTTTATCCTAATAAAAAATTATAATTTCATATTACCCTTTATTTTGTGAATTCGATATACTCTAAAGTTCAAAATCAAGCTTACCATTTGAATGTCTAATAGAATGTAGATATTTATAAAAAGGAAAATATAAAAAACATTATGTAAATATCTACATTTTATTAAACATTCAAATGGTAAGCTTGATTTTGAACTTTAGAGTATATTGGACCCATAAAATAAGGGTAATATAAAATTATAATTTTTTATTAGGATAAAATTATATTTTTTAACGGTTATATTAACAGATATCAATGAAAATGGGTTACATGTTGTACGTACATAAATGTCATGAGATGCAGGAGTAATATTCTAAATGTAAAGAGGTTCAAATGATTAAGTGACAAACATGAGAGGATCTAGGTATAATTTATCAATTTAGTTTTAGGTGCATAATGATACAAATTTCTATATTTGAGAGTGCAAATTAAGATTTTTTATCTTTGGGGTGCACATTGATATAAATTTCTATCTTTGAGGGTGTAAATTGAGATTTTTTATCTTTGGGAGTGTACATTGATATAAATTTCTATTTTTGAGGGTATAAATTAAAATTTTTGATCTTTGGGGGTGCACATTGATACAAATTTTTATCTTTGAGGGTATAAATTGAGATTTTTGCTCTTTGAAGGTACAAATTGAGATTCGGACTATCTTTCAGGACGTAAAATGAGATTAACCCTTATTTTTTTCCAGTTTTCTTTTTTCTAACACTAATGCGCAATTTTCGGTTCCCACAAAAGCCTCAGCTGTTTAGTTGTAAAACTCATGCAGTGTGAGTGAGTTGACTAAACCACCCTCTCCTCAACCTAAAGATTAATTTGGATCTAAATCTTAACAAAATTAAACTAAAAATATTTTATTACATATATATCCTTTTATAATATTAGTTAAACAAGTTATTTGCATATTATTTGTGAGTTTATGTTATTATTAATGGGTAAAAACCCAACCATTTTAATTTTACACAACCAATCACTGGTTCGTAATTCCAAATCAATTTAATGGATTATGCTTTTGTTAGTTATCTTGTATTTTTGACTGACATTTGATGCTGCCTTTTGCTTCGCTTGGAAGTATAGGTTTGGATTCCCCCAACCGGACCTTTTAGTTCACAGATTTATTGTAGAAAATTTGTAACTAAAAAAGGCTAAAATTCACTAAGGTGAACACATGTTTGGTTTCACGCTAAAGCACACGTAGCCGGGACAAAATTGAAAATGACAGCAAGAGCGAGAGCGAGAGCGAGAGCAAGAGCAAGAGCGTCGAAGGCCAAATAATTATCAAAGCGAGAGAAAATATTTTTGCACACGTACTAAAGATATATTCACCTTTAACAAATTTAAAGCTTCGAATCCTATAAGCAAAGAATTGTTGAAAAGAGGCTAGTTAGTTATGGTGTTTGCAAAGAGCTCATGGCTTAGCAGCTAGGTCATAGGTATGTTGAGTTAATCAGGCTTCAAAATGTATTAGTGAGAGTTGATTCGGATAATCAAAGGCCCTTGAACATGACTTTAGTCTTACCAAACACAAGACTTGTGTGGTGGAAAAAAGAGATTTATTTTTTTCTTAAGTCAAACGTTCCAGCCTGAAAGTAGTGTACAGGTTTGTCACTCATCCGTGATCAGCGAGGGGGAAAATCTCCCTACCACTGGTCTCTCTACTATAAGGAACAATTCATAGAATTTGCCACCCAACTTGGACTACATTTTCAAATATTTCAACCCATAAATTAAGAGGTCGTCCTCTTCCACTCATAATTTTTAAATATTGATCAATTCCAAACGCATATTAAGCACACGTTACATAATACATTAAAATACTTTGAATTAAAAAAATACTAGGGGTAACCCTCACCTTAAGACACAGTACAATATAAGTAATTTTGATAGGAATGTTGATGACTATTAGATGAATCTATTTAAAACCTACCCTGTTTTATACTATAAATTGTATTGCGGGTCATCATTTTGAGTTCTCCTCCTCATTTTGAGTTCTCCTCCTGGTTTAATCGTTGGGTGAAAATCCTCATTCATTCTTGCCAAAGATTGCATACATTCAAAATTAATGCTGAAACCTAAATCACCTAATTCGTCCAGATACCACAACAAACTCAAGCTCCATACGCCAAAATGCCAATCCACAAATTCAGAGCAAATTCTGCGGATTCGAAAAAATGAATCCACAACTTAAATGTTCCTTTTTCTAATCCGCAAATCCATGAATTATACACTTGGAAGTCCACTCCACTCCACTGTCGCAACTAATTACTGGTTTCAACCTTGGCCCAAGCTACATTGAAGCCCAACCACTTACAAAGGTTTGTAACAGCTGTCTCACCATTCAATGCAGAGAGCCTCAACGATGTTGCATCATTGCTCTAAAAGCAATTGTCCTTTTCTTATTTCTGTCTTTTTTAATGGCTATTTTCCCATTCAATGTAGAGATCCTCTAACAACGTGGGATCATAATTTTGCTCTAAAAGCAAATTCATCCTTTCTTATTTCTATTTCTCATTTTTGGCACTTAACCACCACCCTCTTTTCCCGTGTGTCTCACAATGTCATGTATTTAAATTCAATGTTTTCTATGATGTTTTTACTCTCAACTTTTTTAAATTTTTTGCTCCCACTTTATGTAATCTAAGTTAAAACTACAAGAATAAAAAAATGCGTGATTAAGACTTTCTATTTCACCAAAGGGGGAGAGTGAAAAAAAAAGAATCATAAACAAAAGTTAAAATCTCAATGCAGCCCATGTACATAAAAACACTTCTTTGCATAAAGCCTAGCCCGTTATTGATGGCATCCCCACACAAGACTGGCGGTGCAGATTTTGATTTTCGAATGAAACTACAGATCATTAAGCTAGATCCCGCCCCGCCCAGCAGCCATACCATTGCAGAATAATTAGGTCTCTTTTCAAAAAGTAAAAGTGCTTTTCATTGATAAATCCACGTATAACAACACTTTAACACACCCCTAAAAATACATGGAGAGAGAGTTAAAAGATTGATCTTGAACATGATCACACCTTAGTAAAATTGGATTGTGCTTCATCCTAAGATGAAAAATCAGCCTCAACGATGACATGCTTTTTCTTAGGGTATCCCAAACCAAATATGTGGTTCAAATACACCCTCCCATCCTTCACAGTTGCTGCTGTGGTGATTCGATGCATCGGACCCTGGAACTTGCCGACAATGGTGGCCGTCTCCCAATCGTCATTGCTCTCAACCAATCTAGAAGGGTTCCCTGCAACTACAAGCTTAGTCGGGGACAAGAGCTCTAAGCCATCCCCAAATCTCAGTGGACCTTCCACTATATTAACTAACTTAACTTCATCTCCCTTACCTAACTCAATTTTAAGTAAATTGCCAGAAAAAGTATGAACGACTAGTAAGTATCCATTTGGATGGTAAACGAGTCCATTAAGTCCAACTAGACTTTTGTACCACTCTTTTGGAGTGAAGAGTGGACTTCTTATCACATATAGGAATTCTCCGTCTACCCCCACCTTCCAAATCTTACTTCCTTTGGCATCTGTCACATAGAAATTACCTTCTGCGTCAACTGCTACATCGTCTGCAAAGGATTTCTCATCCCCTGCATGATTGAAAAATGAGACATCGTAATCAAATATTTGGGCATTAAAAAATAATGAAAATAAAGACAAATATAACATGGATACACCAGATAGTTTTGAGCCTTTTTTTTTTTTTTTTGAACTGGAGTTTTGAGCCAATTGAATGTATTTTTTCTGTCATTGATGCAAGCACAATTAGTATATAGACATATATAGTTGAATCCAACTTATTTCCTGACCTTGACATATGTGTATGTTAAGTGGTTATATGCCAGGATTTCAAACAGCAACCATGAAAGGAGTGAATGAATAATTGACCGGATAACTTAATAAGTAGAACCCAACTTTAATCATCGTACAATTGATTTATCATCAATCAAAATTCTCTGTTTATAGTTTGTACTGTGTGGCAAAGTTTCATGGACAAAGTGCAGAAGAAGTTGGTATTGAGAAAGGCAATTTCGACTGCTAGTGATGAAAGTGAGTCCAAGATATCAAAGGCAAAACCTAAATAGAATTAATTAAGCCCAACAAAACAACATACAAATCTTTTCCTAGTTCATTATTCAATTTCTCTAGTTTTCTAATCGGTTTTTTTTTTTGCTAGGAAAGAAAGGAGTACAAGGTGAGAAAGTAAAGGTATTTACAGAACCTAACTACAAGAGTGACATTCAATGCCTAGTGTCTTAGTTTGGTGAGCAAATACTTTGAAAAGACAAACATATATCTTCCATCAGAGAAGACAATTAAGGGACACTTCATTAGGTGAAATTGGGCTCCACTTGGTAAAGGAAGTTGAACCACCAATAACCTACACTAAATCATCTCATAGCGTAGTAAGGTTTTGGGTGTCTTCATTTATAATATTAAATCAGTGAGTGACAAGGCTTAAATTTGAGGGTTCACTTCACTCCATTGGGAAAAGAAAACTTCCTATTCAAATGGTTGCTGAACAGTGGGATTTTCAAAAATTCAAGGGGCCATGGCCCCCCTAGACCACAACATAATTCCGTCCATATTTGTAAATATGATCACACACCCCATACTATACTACGATAAAAGAGCCTTTGTGATCCCAAGTATTTGCAAACCCTATAAAACACCGGCCATTCTCCTACAAGAAACTTACCAGAGTTGTAGAATTGGCATATCCATAAAGGGCCGGCCACAAGACACCCAATAGAAGGACACAAGTCTTTTAACTTTCAAACAAAATATGTAGAGTGATTAGGAGTGCTTTTTCCAATTAAAAAACATCATATTCGAGGCGAGGCAACTGGTAAGAACAAAGTTGAAATTTTCGTCTGTAGCTAAATAATTACAAGTAATGATAGCCTGAGAGGAATCTTGGGAGAATAATAACCAGTGGAAGAAGACAAGAACAGGGGCTTCTCATCTCATGTAGCATCTTTTTCTTTTCTAACATATTATATGTGGAATAACTCATTCCTGAGCCATTCAATGTAAAATATAACCCTTCTAAGATGTACTGCAACTCATTCGGCTCGCCCACTTATCTTTTACCAATTTTAAACATAATGTTAAGAAGGCCGCTCTTAATGCAGGGATATTTTCTATGGCTTCTCTTAATCACTCCCTACTCTGGAATCATCCGGCCATTATGTGACGAGTAAATATTGAGCGTAACTGTAGACAAACCAACAAGAAACAAAATGAACTCTATTTTTTCACACATATGATGATTATTCTCTTACATTAACATGATAATTATTAAACTAAATAAGATCCAATTACTTACATGTTTGTTTTATTATTGATTGACAACAACAGTAACACGGTGTCACCCTTTTGTTCAATATTTTCTACTTTATTAGTTTCCTGCATCCTCAAATTTGTAGTGTTCGAACACCAATTGTTATTAGTATAATTTAATTTCACTAATTAGGAACTCATTAATGCTAAAAAAGATAAAGTAATGGTATTAAGTTCTAATCTATTGAGTGATAGATTTCTAATAAATAAATTCAACAGGGTCATAATAATTTTATTGACGATGTCACTGTCAAGTAAATTTGGACTGCCTTGTAAGTCCAAATAAAATTATGATTAGATATTTTATGATCTTAATTGTACCTGGGCCACTGAGTTGAGTGAGAAACAACCGCTTCCATGTGGTCAAATCGTATGCCGCGACTGCACCGTACCGATTCCCAAGAACGTCGGCGACGACCAATAGTAACCGATTCCTCATCCGGTCGATGGCAAAGCCGAGCGAGGCATTACCAGCCAAGTCAAAGTCTTTGACGAGGGGAAATTCCTCCAAGATGGTGCCCGGAGAGTAGTCGTTGGGGACCGGAATCTCACCAATACCGCCGTCAAAGAAAGAGACGAGGAATCGACGGTTAAGATCGTCCCACTTGCTGCATTCCCTCATCCACCCATTGCCGTGGTACTCGTACACGTGGGTTGTTGGCTTGGCTATTTCGAGGCGTAAGATGATGGCGATGGGGATGGCTGATATGAGAAAGATAAGCAAGAAAAATTTAGCAGAACAGAAGAAGGAGGCCATGTTTGGGTGTGTTTGTGTGTCTGTGAGAGTGAGAGAGAGAGAGAGAGAGAGAGAAGAATGAAGCAGAGGTGTGTGAGCTTTTTATGTATGGGAACTCGGAAGAAAAAGAGGGTTGTTTGGAGTTTTTTCAGAAGTAGGTATTCTGTGGAGTCAAGTACAGTAGAAGGGCAGCTGAGAAATAGTCTGATGGGGAAAAGGTTTATATTTAAAAATTAGGTAAATCCCATAAATATCCCCTGAACTTTAGTCTGTTTTAAATTGGCCCCTCAACTTTCAAGTTTTTGAGGGAAACTGGGCGCCAACTGTACATACAAGTGGATGTGTCGAAAATGCCCTCCAACAGTTGTCATATGCAAGTCACTTGTAGGGTTCCATCCTCGGTTAGCGCCAACATTTAACAGAGAAGGCGGTGATTAAAATGTTGAGGGGGGTAATTATGATACGAGTAATATTATATGGATTTAAAAAATAAACTTAAAAATTAGACTTGATAATCTCAATCATTGATTTTACTGTGAGTTTCAGCATTTATTGAGACCCACTACCTATTCAATAGTTGAGATTATCAAGTCTACTTTTTAAGTTCATGTAACATTATTCATTATGATATTGTTGGGTCGTGATGTTGCTGGCTGTTGGAATTTTTATTGAAAAATAAAAAACTATATATACGATTATTTTTTATCTTATAAATGAAAGGTTTAAACTTTTCGATGAAAAAAAAATGAACATATGTCAGTATATTAATGTTATCTTTGCATATGAGATGAATAATATTAGATTGATAAAATTTTTGAAAATTTATTGAACACTTTATTGAAAATATAATTATGCATATTTTTTGAAGAGTAATATAGTCAATCAATTTTTTTATATAGAAATTGATATTTATACATAGATAATAGATAATTAAAAGAAATGTTAGAGATAATTTAAAATTTTAAATACATAAGGATATTATGATAATTTAAATATTTAATTGTCAAAAGACAAAGTGGTCTTTACAATTCTTTATAAGGGTAAAATAGAGATTCAAAAGTTTTTCATGTTAAAGTACTTTTATTAATAAATAAATAAATATAAATAGATAGATATAAATATAAATATGTAAATTTATATATATTTTTTGTATATATGCATTGCATGTGGATTATTTTCAATATCAAATATGTTATTGCTATAAAAATTATGCAATAACGTCAACTGTATAAATAAATTTTGCTTAAATATTTTGTATAGTATCTAGTGAAACTTATGTTATGGACAAATTTAACCACATATTAACATGTAAAATTAGAGTTTAATAGTCTACTCCAAATTTAATATCCATCATTTTTAAAAGGATAACAAACAAAGAAATACTTATATTATGATAAACTTGGGACCGTCTACCTCAAAATTCATTATCATATTTTTTATCACAAAAACAAATAATTGGTGAACACTAAGTGTATGTTTGATAACGGTTCGATTTTCAATTTTTTCGTTTTCGTTTTTATTTTTTCTTGAAAACTTAAAATTTAAAGTCGTTTGGTAACCATTTTAGTTATTTTTTAACTAAAAATGTTTTTAAATTTGCCTCAGATTTTAGAAACCAAAAAAAATCGTTTTAAAAACAAAAACAGAAACAAGCGGAAACAATTTAATGAGATCCCACAATCAAATCTTGTTAGCAACAAACTAAGCACTCTACCAAAAAACCCTCGAGCAAAAATATTTCAACCCTCAAATTCTCTCTCATCTCATTGTCTCTCTCATTCCCTTTGTCCAACAATGGAGTTTCAACAGCTTAGACATTCAGCAGAGGAGTACCAGCAACAACTTCTTCTCTCTTGTCTAAAGTTCTCTCACCAAGGTAAGTCCTTAGATCTAGGGTTTTCAGAATTTTTTTCCTATTTTTTGGATACTTCTCGATTTCTCGCAATAACTAGATTCCTTAGGTCTAAGTTGTTCCTTTGTGCTAGATTTATGTATTAGATCTGTAGGTTTTGTGTACTATTAGATCTGATTTTTTTTTGTGGTACATCTAATTTTTTTTTTAAAAAATGTATTAGATATGGTATTTGTGTTAGATATGTTTCTATGTGTTTTTTGTATTTTGTATTTTGTTTATGTGTGTTAGACTATATAAATTTTCTGATGGGTTTTGTTCGTAAGTAGTGAATAATGAGAGGTATATTTGAAAGAAGAAGAATCTGTGAGGTATTCACACCAGGGTATTATGGGGTTTGTGCAATTGGTGGTATGCTTAGTGCTGGAACTACCAATCTCGTGATCACCCCCCTTGATGTCCTTAAAGTTAACGTGCAGGTATATGTTTGTCTATTAAAATATTTATTTTATCTTTGATGGGTTTAGTGTAAGGGTGGATGATAATTCAAAATTGACTTCACGAAACCAGATTGAAGTAGATATTAGTTAAACTCAGATTCGTCAAATGGCTCGTGTGCGAGATTACATTGTCAATGAGTTGTGGGTAAGTGTTGGACATTGAGACATATGATTTTTGGTGTATATGGATTATTATCTTGAATTACTATCAATGAGTTGATGTTTATATAGATTATTGTTTTGAATATTTGTAAATTAAAGGATATATTTTTAGTATGGATGTTTTATGAATTATGTTATGTCTTAATGTGTTATCCTTATATTCCGTTATTTTTACAGTTAAACTTGCATGAAAGTGTATGGTGTAAATAAGTTGTTCATAAAACAATTTAGAAGTATTTATCAAATAGGTTTTCTGTTTATGTTTTCATTTTTTTTATAACAGAAAATACAACCAAATAGGTTTTTCTATTTTCATTTTTTATAAAAGAAAATCAAAGGTATTTCAAATTTTGTTTTTTAAAACTGAAAACCGATAACATTTCCAAATGCAACCTAATTGTTCCATTATTTACTGAAAAATAAATATTAAACTACACTTCAAAAGAAATGTCAATATGCTTCATGAACATCCTAGAAAAAGAATTACTCACAAAAATCTATAATGAAGATACTAAAATTTGTTTTACCATATTCACATGGTAAAATGTATATTGTCAAAAATTAGTTTTTAGTACCTTATGTCCTAGTGCAATTCAAAAAATCTAGTTGAATCATGATTCACATGATAGAAGATCTCGTTTCAATTATTCAATGCATGAGAAGAATCATGTAATTATTTCTACACACGCGATATAATGCTAAATATGCAAAATGAGTTCCACTGCTAAACAAAAAATGAACCTATTACCATGAAAATTAAACACATAGAAGATATATGATTTAAAGTAGGGGTGTCAATCGTGTCAGGTTAAACGGTTACGTGTCGGATTAAATAGGTGACGGGTGAAAAACGTATAAACCCATACACGACACGTTTAATAAATGGGTAAAAAATCTCAACACGAACACAACCCGTTTAATAAACAGGTAACACGACACGACTCGTTCAACCCGTTTAATTTTAAAAAAATTATATAAACAAATTTTAATACTCCATTTTTTTTACTACTAATTGCACTTACCTCAAAAAAGAGGAATTTTAAATCAAATCTCATAAAAATAAGACTTGAAGGCTTTAAAAAAAAAAGAAGCAAGAGGCAATTGCCTTTTATAGGCAACTCACCCTCCCCATCTCCCCTCATTTTCTAATGTGAGACAAAAACAAAATATATTGGTTTGTTTTTATCTTTCAAGTACTCTATAACTCCTCTTCTTTGTCTTTGAAAAATATAAGACTTAAAAGTTTTAAAAATAAAAGCAAGAGGTCATTGTCTTTTATTGACAACTCAACCCTCTCCATCTTCCCTCATTTTTCAATGTGGGACAAAAACAAAAGACATTTGTTTGTCTTTGCCTTTGAAGTGCTCTCCAACTCTTCTCCTTTGTCTTTGAACCACTAATTTACTTTTTTTTTTTATTGATTTCTTTACTTCTTTTTTTTTGCTAATTTTTTAAAATAATTATTAATTTATTATTATATTAATTTTATTTAAACGTGTGATAAACGGTTTGACATGTCTCATCCGAACGCGACCAGTTTATTACCCAAACCCGTTAAGATCTCACCCAAACCCGTTTAATTCGTGTCGGTTAATCGTGTTGTGTCGAATTTTGACAGCCCTAATTTAAAGTAAATAAATCTCAAGATGCCATTGTCACAGTGATCTTCCACAATTAATCACGTTTGTTCATAAATAAAAAACACTTAACAAATCAAGAAGAAATTTTTCAAGATATTAGTGCAAGTCTAACTTCAAGCAAAACATAAATCATATGAAAAGAGCAATAATCTGTAATAAAAAAAACCTAAATATGAAAGAATGAGAGAAGAATAAAATAATATTACAATTAATTTATGATTGACATTTCTGAGATTGAATATTTGATTATTAGTTGTCCACGTAGCCATAAAATAGAAGATGAAATGATTCAATTTCTATTGGATTAATTAATATATTTTTTGTCAGGAATTTGTACCGTTTACAAAACTACACATTAGTTCATATTAGATAAATGATATGATGGTTATTGATGGCATAATAGTTATATTAATAATAATCTATTATTTTTTATAAAATAATGATTAATGGATTTATTGTAAACAAAAATTTTATGAAAAGTAAATGAAAGAGAGACAGTGTCATTAACTCAGGAAAAAAAATATAATACATGGAACAATAATTATTGTGAAAATGGAAGTATATAAAGAGTCGTTTGAATATATAATTAATATTAGTTAATTAAAAAATAAAAAAAAGTGCAATACATATGGAACAATGATTATTATGGAAATGGAAGTATATGAAGAGTCATTTAAATATATAATTAATATTAGGTAATTAAATGAGTAAGGATATAAGTGACTTTAATATTTTTTATAGGGACATAATAGACAATCAAAAAAATTTCACTTAACTTTTTTTTATTAGTAATATATATTCAATAAGAAATTGTTACAACGCTTATTTATTGGATTAATAAATTAAATTTTTTTATTAAGAAATAGTTATTATGTTTGCTTGTTCGATGCGTAAGTTTATTTATTAAAAAAAAAAAAATTCTATAACCTCTTCAGTAGCATCAATTAATTAAGAATATATAACATTTTATGGGGGACATACATAACATAAAACGGTCCTATGATGTTTCCCGAGCACACAATATTTTCTGGTAGGATAAGACTTTCATTTCCGCATCTTTCTATTACCTGTGCTGTTTTAGGACGAGAAGCATTTATGAGTATGTAGTGTAGGGATTGAGCTTAGGTTGCATACAACCCAATGCGACTACATGGGGCTTGGGGTTGGTTGGGCCATTTCTGGTTCAGCCCGCGGGCCCATAGTATGTTTGGACCACAATAGGCTTAAACTGCCATCTAGTTCGATTAACGTCTATACCACTCGAACCCTTTCTCTGCCACAAGCGTCTCTCTTTTGAAGTCTTCACCACTGTATGTTTCTCTCTCTCGATTCTTCGTTTCACTTATCGATCTAGGTATGCATATAACTTATTGTGATTTTAATTTTAACCTAGATTTTCATTTTGTGGTATTCAATTTCCTAGTTTTATTTGTGACCTTAGAAAAAACAAAGCAGCTCTATGATGAAACCTAGAGATATTGCCGTTATAGATGTGGAGTGGAAATATTTGTTGCAAAACAGTTTATCTGTATTCAGTTTGATTTCGGAATAAGAGCAATTTCGTGGACCCAAAATGATGAATTCCTTTTTGATTGCAATGCGTGTGGGTAATCAAAGGATTATATTCTCTTTTTTAGACACCGCAGGATCTCATATGCCAAAGGGCCTTATGATCAAATTACTCTAAAGCTCGTTAGGATGATTGCCTGCCTTCTCTCGGAAATCAGAATTAGGGGTTTTGGAGGTGATTGAGATCCTTATACATTACTATAGAACATAGGGTCATTTTTCTCATGGCATAGGTACTGACTTTTTAGTTTTTATTGATCGAGAGATTAAGCTGGGACCTTGATGTCATTAAGTCGGGACTTTTCTGTTTTTAAGTTTTCACAAAACTGAAAAAGAAATATGTTGGAAAAATTGAATTGTACAGCCTTAAAGGCTTCCTGAATTACTCATCAAGTACTTCGTCACATTGGGGAGAGAGAGACTGGAAGAGCCAACCTCCCCTCAGTCTGGCATCATTGCAGAGATCTCTTCCATCTGACCTGGAAATGCTCTTTCTGCCTATTGTTTTTCTCTTTCATTTTTTAACCTCTCCTTCTCAATCTATCAAGCTACTCGTTCCTTTCCCACCCCCTTTCTCTCTATAGCTTCACATAAATAAATATATTCATGGTGTTATATATATTCTTTTTCCAATAAGGCAGACGGTGTGTCAGCACTTTGCTCTGCCTTCAATGTTAAATGGTACTCCCTCCGTTCCTAAATATCTGTCGTTTTACACAATTATTTTTGTTCCATAATATCTGTCGTTTAATGAAACCAAAGCGTAATTAATATTTTTTCTTCCAAATTTACCCTTAACTTTTCAATGTATTAGATTTGGTGGAGGCTAAGTGTCTTTCATATTCATTTTCTTCCCAATACATATTGAATAAGGGTATTTTAGTCTTGTGCAATTATTTTTTACTCATATTAGAACTATTTAATAGCTTCCTTAATCCCAGTACAAAAACTTTAAACGACAGATATTTAGGAACGGAGGGAGTAATAGATACTGATTGCAATTAATATTTCTGTCAATCTGATTGTTCTTTTCCCACCTCCACCCCTCTATGTACTGCAGTTTTTATCTTAAATTTATGTTTCCTTTCCCCACTGCCACTTTTTTTCTCCTTCTCCTCTAAGATGATTGTCTAATTTTACTTGGTTATGAATTTTGTTTCCATTTTGTGGAGTTATTATGCTCTCTTAGCTGCTATTAGTGGTTGATTTGAACGTTCAGATTTAGACCCATAACTTCTCCATGCACTTGTTCGTTAGTTTGGTGATCTGTCCTTTTAGGGTGGCAATGTAAATTTTTGAGGCTTTACTTGATTGGGACCACTTATTGGAAAAATAGGAAAATTCTACCATTGGTGCAGGTTACCCATTTCACATAAAGCGGGTCGACTTGCTCTTGTTGTCCTTGCATTTGTAGGTATCTGTTTTGTATTTTCATATTTTTTGCAGTCTCCGTCAGTGAATCTACTTTGCCCTACTCTTGTTGACCCTTTTCGCCTCCTAGATTCTTTGCCCTGCTTCATTTGCATGCTTTCTATGTACATGTGCTTTGCCTTTTCTATTCATTGAACTTCTAATTTATGGTAAAAGTAAAAATTATAGATCCCATCTCTTGCCACCTTTCTAGTTTCCTTTATTCACTATTAGTTTTGGATATTTTCAAATCAAAAAAGGATTATTTTAAGCTAAGGGATTATGTGAGTAGAATATGTGTTCCTCTATACTGGCTCCATGTTGTATACATGCGGATCCCTGTTCTATATAAGAAGAGGAAATGTGTACCTCTATGTTTTATTATTAGGGGTGATATGCCTCTTGAATTTCGTGTGGACAGAAGATAATAGCTCAGCTGGATCCTTAATTTGTTGCGAGTGAGCTTTTACAATCTAAAAAACTCATGTCAATCTAAGCCGTTTCTCTGCAAATGAAAAGAAGAAATTTGCAGATTAGATAAATGGTTCCACAAAGGTCTTCTGAGAAAGTAATCACACTTAGCATATACCACTGCTATAAAAAATGGCAAAGAGCCCAATAATGAAACCTCCAAAGTCATAGTTTGTTCATGTGTACTGACGACATTCACTACCAATCTGTGATCCCAAAGAACCCAGATATGCTTCTCTGACAAAGGATTGGCTACAGAAGAAGATTAACCCAGACTAGCACTAAGATTTTGCAATTTTGATGGATGTAATTTTGGCTCCAGAATAGAGACCAAGCACACCTCATGGATCGTAATTAGCTTCTTGAGACGTCTCCTAGAGACTTCTTTATTAGCCCCTCTCACATTCCATGAAATAATATTAATCATCTAAATGTATAGGAAAGGGAACAATACCTCTGGAGTTCCAATTGTTTATATTCATCAACCTGTTGCATCTAGTGCCACCTTAAAAAGATTGTTCAGTGGATTTTGCATTTCAGTTGCTTGTTATGTTGGAATGATGCATTATTGTGGCTATGATTTTGATGAAGGTTACGGGATGTACATAGACGGTTATAATGGCTCATGCATCATTTCATTCGCAAAAATGTGAGCACTAGGGAATATGTGTACGTGGCCGTTGAATGTAGTAAGGGCATCGGTTTTGGCATTTGATAAATAGGGTAAGAGATACTATTGTGGCTTGTTCAGAATTCAGTTCAAACTTTACAGGTGACTAGTAAGACCTGTTTGGATTTGGGTTTCCTTATGTGGAGGGAATTTTGCATTGTTCTCTTGGAGTTCTTCTCTTTTCTTCTTCCTCTTCTTCTTTTTGACTTTTTACTCTTTCCCATGTAAATTGACTAGAATATGAAACTGAAAAAAACTGTCTGTTTGGTTTGGTTTTCTAAAATGACTTTTTGTTTTCAGATACAAAAAATTTGGTAAAAACCTTTTTGGACAGAGGAGTTTTTAAAAACAGTTTTTGAAAAAAAAATGAAGACTGAAGATAGATTTTAAAGAACAGGTAAAAGGTTTTTTGGTGTTTGGAGGACAAAAAAAGGAGACCATTGAAAACACGGAGAACGCCCAAATATTTTTTACTGTTCACTTAAGTGGGATTATAAAAGATGATCTTTTCTCTCTCCCCCATTTTTTTTTTGTTCAGCTTGACTCTCAACTAGATGAAACAAACAACCTTCTCTCCACCGTTTGCACTTCAACCCAAAGAACGAGAGATTTCTCCAGCAAAGAAAAAAGTTTCATCGTCTTTGGATATCATATACTTAGGATCTGTTTGTAAGGCATTTTCACATATCTGGATTTGGGTTTACAGATCTAGAAATTTTTTCGTAAAGCATCTTCTCCGATACTCTGAAAATCCAGCCCAAAACAACAAATTCATCTGAAATATACATCAAAATCGAGCTGCTTATTCTTTTCAGAAACCTAGCCATCGTCCTAAGCATTTTCATGGCCTTCAAAAGATTCGGCGGTGTGTAAAAGTTGTGTAAAGTTGGCCAATCACCCCACTATTCTTTGTAAAGTTGTTGTGTAAAGGGTTGATTTGGGTAAAAGTAATAGTCATACTACTGGGGCTTTATTTGGGTTTAATTTTCTAGTTGATAACCACTGTTAATATGGGTTTCTTTATTTGGAGGACGGTTGGGGCTTCTTAAGTAGGCATTGTTGGGTTTAGATCTGTGCTTTTGTGTGTGCTAGATTTGTGGGTTTTTGCTAGATCTATGGGTTTGAAAAAATGCAAGAAGGTGGTATGGATTATCGTAGTGTGATTTATATTCTAAATGGTTTATCATAGTGTTATTTATAATATATTTTTCTCTTGTTTTTGGATCATTTGTGTATGTTGCGGATGTAAGTAATTTTCCTTCCAAATCCTCTTTGGACCCATTATGTCAATATACTGAACAAATTGGCTGCCATTCTTAATTCAGTTGTCTTAGTTGATCTTATTCTATTGGAGCGTGATTGTTAACTCTAGTTGACTTGGAAGTTCTTTAGCTTCATATGGCTATCCAATGACTAAGTTGTTGCTGCAAAGAGTAGACAAAAGTGCAAACAAAGCTAATCATGACTGTTGCAATGACACTACTTTGAGGTTTCTCCTGTTTATGAAACACAACACCTTGTTATTTTGGAGCAGTGGAGTGATAGTATAAAAGATCTATCAGCAATGGGACTTCCTGAAGACGAAGTGAAGTCTTCTTATCATTGTTTGTGTATTTGTATATAAATTGATGGCCAACTATGTACAAAACTTGAAACATAACTATACGATTGTTGGATTGATGTTAATATACAGTTGATCACTTACAATTGTGTTTGCATTGGTCATTGTGTATTCAGTTGATCACTTACAAGCGTAGCTCCAACGCCTCAAGTAACAGTAGGCATAATAGTAGGCCTTTTCCATTTTATTTGTTTATATCAAAGTTGGATTTTGCCAAACAAAGACACGGAGAAAATTTGAGGCTACCTTGTCAACAAGTGACATTTTGGGTTATCAAAGGGTGTTAATATGTGACATATATCAAAGGAAAGACATGGGGATAATGTGGGACTTCTCTTTTGTACGAACAATGGTGTGTATTATATTAGAACATGTATTATGATACTATGAGTACGATAAGTATTCACTTCGATAAGTATATTTGTGTATAGGTCCAAACAAATTTTTTTACTATAGTATGATTTATGTTAGTTTTTATCAAGTTAATAATTTGAAAACATTGTATATCAAACAGTCAATCCAAACAACATTTCTGTTTTCATTGTTTTATGCATTATTGTCCAAATAGGTTTTACTGCTTTTTGTTTTGTAAAACTGTTTTTGGAATCATACAACCAAACAAGTTTTTCGTCTCAGAAAACACAAAAATACACTTCTGTAAAACTCTTCCCAAAAACTATTTTCGGATACTATTTTCTGAGATGCAAACCAAACGGGCCTTATGATTCCACTTTCCATTTTTAATAATTTATCTGGAACCCTTGACCAGAAGATTTGGCAGGAATTCACTGTGTATGCTAATAAATTAGTCAGGCATTCAAGTTTATGCTTCCTACGGTGATTGTTAAAATGATGTTGTTCTTGTCATGGTCGTATTTGTACATGCTTAAATCTTGGAGCGTCTGGAATTACTTGAATCTTTACCTTGATCAAAGTGCAACAATCAGCTTATCTAAATGCTTTGGTAGCCCAGATTCCAGTTGATGTTTGTGAGTTGACTGATACCTGTAACAAAGTAGCTCTCTTATTTCCTTGAGTTTGTACTTTGAAGTCATAGGAGTGCCGTATTTGGTCATTTAAAGACGGCTTTATCATGTCTCTTCTCATTAACTGATTTGCATGTTACATGAAATCGTGCAGATTTTTTCCCTTAGTGCTTTGCCATCTAAACAGAGTTCTCTTTGATACTTGCAGAGTTTATAGGCTTCCAACTAGAAAAGTAAAATGGCTGGACATAGAGTTGCTCATGCTACCCTGAAAGGACCAAGCGTGGTGAAGGAGATAATCATTGGAATTACACTTGGCTTGGCTGCAGGCAGCCTGTGGAAGATGCATCACTGGAATGAGCAGAGGAAAGTGAGGGCATTCTATGACTTGCTGGAGAAAGGTGAGATCAGCGTGGTTGCAGAAGAATAAATAAAACCTTAGCTTCAGTTATGAAACTATCATGTTCAAAAAATAGTTATGAAGCTATCGACACTGCTATTGGTTGATTCAAGAGCCCTTTCACAGAAACACAAGTAATAATCACTCTTTGGTTTGTGTTTTGGATAATATAATTTCTTGTATTGATTCCTCAGGTTCACATTTGCTTTTGAGAACCTTCAAGCTTTCTGCTTTCCATTCCTTCTTGATTTATAGCTGCATGACTTGAGGTGTTGAGGTGCTTATTACTTCATGGCTACTACCTATTTGCCTGTTTGCTGTTTAATCCATAACTTGAAAGGAGAGTGGAAAAGCTCCTTGAGAATATCTGGAAGCTTTGTCCATTCAATGCTTCTTAGCGTGAAATAGAAAAAGAGTTCGAAATTTTTTACAATTGTGGAATTTAGGATTACGTGGTAGTTGCAATATGTTCTGAATCTGCAATCCAGCACCTTACTGTGATCCATGAATGAGTTTTGTTGGTTTGAATGAATGAAAACCGGTATAAAGATCACAGCTCGTCGTCCACTTGATAAAAGCGTTATTTGCTGATAAATGGGGATTGTGTTGAACTTCCGGTGAACAAAGTCCACTTTACACTTTGTTTCTCCTTGACATGTAGCAGTCTGCCAGGACACGTTCAGTTCTGTAGACTAGATGAAATCCTTCTAGCTGCAGAACTGATATTTGAAATGTGTGCGTCCAAAAGAAAAGAAAATACTTGGTACTAGTTTAAATGACAAAGCAACACTGTTAATAACTTGGAGGAAAATGGATTCACCCAGCCATGGCTTTTTTGGCACAGTAAAGAACAACAGAATTCTTACATTGAGTGAGAAGCAAGACAGAATGTGATGTTCGGAATTGGATTGTTCACCCAAACTGATTCAATACTGATATGGTTGATAACTGAGTTCAACTACTCGGGTTTGGCTTGGTTTGGTTAGTACTCGACTTTGGTTTGAACAATTTTTAGGTTCGTTTAAAAAACGAGCCTAAAAAACTTTTCGAGCTCGCAAATTTTGGTTTGTTTATATGTAAAATAATTGAACTATTCGGACTCGGTCCGCTTTGGGTTTGGACTCAAATTCATTTTTTAAATGAGCCGAGGTTGAACAATTTGTTAAACTCGTTTATAAAAATAAGCTTGACAAGCACGACTTGATTATCAAATCTTAAATACTAAATTAGTTATATCACATAAATTTTTAGGGTTCAGTTATAAGTAAAAGTAATTAGAATCAATCATGAAATATTAAAATTGATCTTATAAAAATTATAATTTTTTAAGGGTCTAGTTTTTTAAGAATTTGTGAAAAATGTTAAGATAGATAGTAAACATTTACAACCCATCACAACGACTTTCAAAATTAATAATGGCCCAATATATATATATATTAGTTATTATCTGTGCCTGAAGGCACTACGTTATTTATAAAATTTCAACACACAATGATAAAATGTTTGAATAATTTCAACACATAGCGATTAGATTAGTTTTGAACATTTTTTGTTGGTGCAATTGGTATCTTATTTTTTTTTGTATTGTTCACCTATTTTTTTTAACTACTGATTAGCTTGGGCTTTTGATTTTGATTTTTATTTTTTGAGAATTATAGGTTTTCATACAAAAGTGATTTATTTTTGGTATGAATAATAAATTGATGATTTTATTTATGAATTATAAAAACAATTTAAACTTCATTGATTGATAAGAAGTAAGAAGTAAACATCAATCATCAGTACCAAGATGCATGATTAGAAGATCTACTTACGGTGCACTCTAGATATGAATCAGTTTGTAATTAAAAGAATGAAAAATTATATAGTAAGTATATAATGATTTTTAATGAAATATGATACCAAAGGTCTTGAAAAAATCGATATACCAGCTAACTTACATGTCAAAAAATGATGACATTGTCTATTTGAGTACTGATTTTTGTGTTGTAATGATAGTGTGTATGAGGTTATTAGGGTCAAACATAAACTGACAAACTTTGAAAAAATAAACATTAAATTTAGAGATATTGTGTATTTTATGTGTGTTTAATAAAAATATTTTTAAATTTATGCAAAATTTTATCGTAAAATTATAAATTAAACAAAACCAACCAAAATTAAGGTACAAACAATACACTTTTAACATATAACATTTAAAAACAATCAGTTAATGACAATATATCTACAACTAAACCACACGAACATTAAAATTAAAAAGAACAAACTATTGTCAAAGCATACACTACTAAACCTACAGGAGAAAATCATCAATATTCATAAACACGCATAAATGTTAAACATTTGCTAACTGCACGGTTATAAAAATTAAATATAAAATATTTGATAATTACCCAGTTATAAAAATTAAACAAATAAAATAATCAACATGAAATAATTAGATGGTTTGTCATTAACAAAATTTGTAATAAATACTCTTTTAACTAATCATTTATGACAATCAACAATATGTTTTGTTCAACTTTCAATAAAAATTAAATTTTTGAAAGTTATAAGTTTTCATGTAATTATGAATAAAGTGGTGATTAAGTATGAATAATAGTTCAAAGGTTTTACTTATGAATTGGATATTTGTATTTTTTGTTTGTGTGAAAATGGTGATGATGATTAAATTGGTTTTGAATTTTTTTTTGTGCAATTGGTAATACTTATTATTTTTTATTGGTTACTTATTTTTTTTATTGGTGATTAGATTGGATTTTTTTTTTCTTTTTTGAAAACTACATGTTTTTATATAGTAGTGATTTATTTTTGGTATGAATAATAACTTTATGATTTTATTTATGGATTGTATATTTATACTTTTTATTTAAATGGAAGTGGTGATGGCGATTATATTGGTTTTAAATTTAGTTACTTTATTATATATATATATATAGAGAGAGAGAAAGAGAGAGATAGTGTATTTAAAACGTATAAGAGATAAAAGAGAGAGAGAGTTATATGAGAGATAGGAGTGTTAGAGTTAACTCTAATTATGATCGTCAGATCAGTATTTATGAAATGATCTGAACCCTCTTTTGTGTTGGGATTACATTGTTTGTTGAATGTGTTTATATTTTGTCTCAAAACGATCTGGACCTCTCTTTATTTTTGAATTCAAACTCAGCTCTACTTTATTATATATATAATATACTAGTTATTCCAAGTGCCTGAAGCCACAGAGCAATAAAAAATGGTAAACAATAAATATATCTATATTCATATTCAAAATTAAATCACAAACATAAAAATAAATAAATAAATTTAAGTATCGATTTTGTAGTGGAGGTGAGAAGTGATGGGCGACGAAAGAGGTGGTAAGAGACGGTGATAGTTGTGGTGGGTGACAATGACCGTGGTGACGGCGATAGTGGCGGTGGTGGTGGCGGTGGCGGTGGTGGTAGTGGTGGTGGGAGTGGTGGTGGTGATGTTGGTGGTGGTGGGGCGACGACGACGATGACGGTGGTGGTAGAGGTAGTGGTGGAGCAGTTTCAAATATATATATATATTTTTTTAAGTATTTATGAAAAATAATTTTTAAAAAGTTACCCTAAGCACACCCATTTTTTTTATTAAATTTAGGGTGTTAATATTAGTCGTTAGATTAAATTTAAAGTAAATATTAAATCGATTTCAACAAAGACTAACAAAAATTATTTTATTTATCTTTTAAAATTTAAATTATAAATGATGTTATTATATAGCTCCGGCAAGTCTACCGTGGAATTTTATTATTGGCGGACAGATGATACGAAATGTATGTACACAAACCATCACGGGCCTCAATTGTATTGATCATTTTATCCTTTCCTCTGAGTCTCAAGCCTCAACAGAGCCACCATTGCTCCAGTGGTACTGCAAAAACACAACACAAAATTACAATGGCAACAATAGCTGGTGTGAGCGTCTCAACTCCTCGGATCTTAACCAAGACACCAGAGTCGCCAAAGGTCCAGACCCTTAAGTCCCCATGGCTGAACCACCCTTGGAAGAGGTCCAACCCCCGCTTGTCCATTCGTCCCGTGACTGCAGTACCAGAGGGGCTGTCTGAAAAGGTGGCTGACAGCATAAAGAACGCCAAGGAAGTGTGTTCCGACGACCCGGTTAGCGGAGAGTGCGTTGCGGCATGGGATGTGGTGGAAGAGCTGAGTGCAGCGACGAGCCATGCCAGGGCCAGGAATAAAGAGTCCGACTCTTTGGAGAATTATTGCAAGGATAACCCGGAGACTGCTGAGTGTCGCACCTACGATAACTGATCATGGTCATTTTTTTTGATTTTTCAACAAATAAAGTTGTTGGGTCTGTTTCTCCTTTGTTTTTGTTGAATTACGTTGGACGTGTATTATGATGATACTTTTCATATCTGTTTGAGCATATATGCCATGTTCGGTTGAATTAATGATGACTGGTGTTTATTTTTTTAAAAAGAAAATTATTAAGTAATAGAAGGGGGGACTTGAAACGCAACTCAATAGTTACAACATGGTTATATTTATTGTAAGATAATCCTTATTATCTTCTATTTCATAATTGAATCATATACCATGATTTCTTCATTTCATGAAGCAACGACGAATTCCGTAATAATATATCTTTATCGAGGCAATAGGCTTTAGTGAAGATCGCCAGAACTTTTCAAGGATCTTGGTGAAGACTGATTTTGTGTCGTAATTAACGATTAATGCTAAGATCCAATTAGCTCAATGCCCAGTGCCATGAGGTGTTTTTATATTGGTTAACAGAGATGCTGTAGTACTAAATTGCATTGCATGCTTATTGAAACACACCCAACTCAACATAGACAATATTTAGTTTAATTGTAATTAATTTAGGGCCATCTGAGTAATTTACCGAAATAAATAACCAGAACTATTGTAAAGAACAAAAGAGGGGAAAATGGGAGAGACAACAGAGTCTATTAGCAAACTACAGAATCGAATTGTTTCTTCGTCTTCCCCACCCCTTGCCTCTAGTTCTACCCTTCTTTTTCTGAAAGAATTTGAAAGGATCGTGACTTGGGAGTTCTCTCACACACTGTACAAACTTAAAAGCCATCATCACTCCTTTCCTTATTATCTATCAATTGCTTTTAAACAGCGGAGGCTTGTTTAGGTATCTTTCTCTGTGTGTCTGTCGTCTCGGAGGGGAGGCGGCGAGCGTTACAGTTTGAAGATCCACATCAAGTCTGGGCGTTTTGTTGAGGAGGATTCAGTAGAAAGTGGAGTGTGTGTTCAGTTGAACTTCGGACTTGTTGGAAGGGTTCCTCAACTTGTCCCACATCGACTCTATATGATAGTTGGAGGGGAGAAGAGGATTAGATAAAATTAAGAATTCACAACTGTTAAACATACTTACCTGGACGGGGTCAATGGGTGATCATTAAGGCCCATGGCCTAGGTTGTGGACCTCCATTGCACTTTGGAGGGGTTTCAGCCTAAGGTCTGTCCAAGTGGCAGAGCCTACGTCATAATTTGTGTTAGGGGGGCTTGCGTTCGCGCGGCCCTTAACTAAATTAGTTGAGATTTTATCATGTTTTAAGTTGTGGTTGACTTAGATTTATTGGAACATCAATAATCAGCCCAATGTAGTACAGAGTTTATTCTGTCTCAATAGTGTGTGTTCAGTTCCAATAGAAATCCATACAGGTCTGGTCTTCATGGTTTCAAGAAAATATTATTGTTAGACAATTTTAAATCAATAAAGTTTGGGTTGGTTTATTTGGAAGCCTTAGTAATCAGTTGTGTGCGCCGTGTTATTAATTAGCACACGATAAACAACTTTTTGGCACCCACTGTTTCAATAGAAGTTAGATGAAATCTGCGTCAGAGAAAAAGATTACGTTCGACGCTGTGACTCCTTTTTATGTTCTTTAACTTGCTTCAGAATTCCGTTGGAGCCTGTGGTTTTAAATTGTGTACTACACCCTGGTGCAGCAGTCCTGAAGGTGGAAGCAGCCATGGTCCCTAAATTCGGCAAAAATTCATAGAAATTAAAAGGACATCGAATCACCAGAGTTCAGATCTTCCGCCTCCTCGTGTGTCTCTTTTAATCCATTCATGTAGAGCAAAATTTAAACGCCGATTCCTACGTAATTAGAGGAAAGTAATCTTCTTCCTCTCTTTCTAACATATTTGTTCTCACAATGACACAAGGATCACCACTCGTCAGGAAACCATACAAGTCCTCCACCATCAGACAGGCTACCCAAAGTTGCAGCCAGAAAACACTCAACCATGAATTCTGGATACTATAATGAAAAACAAAATCAAATTTAACACTTCAGTTGTGTCCAAATTATCATTCTTACACCATTCCATGTAAACACAACCATCAAAATCTCAGGCAGTACGCAACATTATTTCAATGCATCCAAAACACAACTGGAGCAGAGCATGATTTCATTAAAATTGAGGCACAAGAAAAGCCCAACCATAGATAGTACCACCACAGAAGGACAATCAATACATAAAACTGACCAAATTATCCACATAAGTGACCTTAAAATCCATACGACTCCAGCACCACAGCAAGTTTTAGCAAGGAAGACTCCCTTTATAGACACCAAACTAAAATGAAAAGGACTCTCAAGAGAAAAGGAGACAATAACAACCAAATAGAAAGCAAATAGCAGGACACATCAAGACCAAAACAGTCTTATTGCCCCCGGGATGGGAATTTCTTCCAACATTCATCGGGTGCTCAATACTGAAACATGTCAGCAGACGCTGCAATCGACTGTATCGGACAAGGGAGTTTCCAAGGTTCCAGCAATGTATCTGGAAGTTCAGGTATATCCACAACCAGCCCGCTAACCTCCTGCACGATCTGAAGAACTGAATTCAATGACCTCAACCTATCAGTCAATTCGGCCAGTTGAGCCCTCAAAACATTGTTATCAGAAGCAACCCCGAGGTACATTTGCGTAGCATCATTAATCCTCTGGGTAATGAGGTTGTTCTCATCTTGCAATTGGCTCCCTTGACCAATCAAATCATCCAACTGCTGCTGCTTCCTCATCCTTGACCGCCTAGCTGATTCCCGATTCGATATCATTCTCTTCCTCTTCCTCTCGCCGAACCTGGCGTATCGAGGGTCACTATCAGACCCCGAACTCACTTGCTGTTGCTGTCTTGTTGAAGCCATACCCACCCAAAAATAGGAAATTGGCTTTCTAATTTCGTTTGTTAATGTTGATTTGGAGGGGTATTTTATATGATTAGGGTTTTGAGAAGTCAAATTAAACAAATTGGAGAGACAAACTGAAGATTATTGAAAGGGTTAATTCATGAAATGACGTAGAACCAATACAGGAACACAACTGAGAACGAGTGAAGAATACGAATTCGACGCATCAGGATGGTGTACGTCATGAAGAGTATGATAGATGGGGTTTCCAATGCAAAAACACTAAAATCATTGGAACAAGAAATAGAAATCCTAATTTCAGATCACGATTAAACTAGTATACGATGCACAAAACCCTAGAATCGAACAAATCAGAAACAGAAACCTCAGAAACGTTACGATCTGAAATCCGACATTGAAACTGTGGTCGAAAGAAATTAGTCGTTTCGTAAAACGAAGACGTGAAACTGTTGATTAAACCTGCAGATTGAAAGAAAACAAAACCAAATCCAAAAATTGATTAGTAGATAAAATAAAATAAAAAAACCAAACAAATTTTCCAAAAACAATAAATCAAACGGACGTGAAACGAAAGATAAATCGAAACAAAAACGAAATCGAACAAAAAATAAAATAAAGGAAAGATTAGGAGGGCTTACCTGGAGGCCAAAGAGCGATACAACCAAAGCTTGGCGAAAGAAGGCAAGAAAATGGCTGGAAAGGGGTTTATATAGGCGAATTCCGCACGGAAAGGACAGGTGTGGGTTTGGGAACGCGGATCAAGGATGCGAAAGATAATTGTTGCTCCCATGTGTATTTGTTACGTGTATATATATATAAGAACAGAATTCAATATATAAAGATGAGTTTGACTGTGTTTCATCTAAACAAGCCCCAATTGGGGCTGTGGCTTGGTTAAAGGGGTTGGTACGTAATTTTCAATTCTTTTTTTAATGTTTATTTTTTTAAGGTAAAATAATACACTTTTAGTCTCATGCGTCTAGTTTAGTTGGTACTTAATCTTTTAATTGCATTTATGATCTCTAGAGTTTTTAATTTATATTCACGTAGTTCAATTCCAAACATTTATCAAAAATCGTTAATAACTTTAGTTATGTGTCAATTACGTGGGATGAAATGGACACAAATTAGACACGTTAAAGACCAAATAAACACAAAATTATGAACCATATAATTGGCACGTGACCATAATTGTTAACGATTTTTTGACGACGTTTGAGATTGAACTACTTAGATATAAATTATTAATTTTAGAGACTAAATAGACACAATTGAAAGATTGGAGACCGAATAAACACTAAATATATACTTTGGGGATAAAAATGTATTTTACATCTTATTTTTTAAATCAAGTTGTGGCTTCGGTGTAATGTTGCTGGCGTGCTTAATGAGCGCATCAGAGCAGTAATTCACCTATATGTTATAGTTTTCTTTGCTTTACAAGGTGGCCAATTTTGACACTTCACGTTCATGTCAATGTCATGTTTTAGGACAAATTATAATGGGACTCCTTCGAATGACTAACAAATACGTTCACATTCCCTATTATTTCTTGGTCAATAAATTGTGTATTTAAATTAAAATAAAGTAAAATAAAATAATAAAATATTTTAATAATATTGTCAAATAATCCTTCTCAATAAGCAATCAAATTCAAACTAATTACCAAACAATTTAGATTCGAAAGGCTAATATCTGTTCTTATATTTCCCACCAAACAATAATATGAAACCCCATTTCCCTCCATCAATCATATCGATAACTTTTGTCACCACCTCCCTCTTTCTCTAGTGATAGTCATCGAATTGTTACACCGCTAAACGCCACCTTTCTCTTATTGCAAATCATATTCAATATATTCTCTATCAACCATATAATTCAATCACATGGGGACATACTTTTAGTTTATTATTTTAATTCACATGATATTTTAAATTTGATCTATATTTCTGTGGGATTGGAGGCAAGTTTGTATAGTACAAGTTTAGTGGTTTTTGGAAATTGGTTATGGAGACATTTTAACACTATTCTTCTCATGTTTTTTTATTTGGGTCATAGGATATTTGAGTTCTCTTTTGTATACTTTTGTTCATTTTCTTTAAACCCCCAATTGTTTGTGATCATTCGTACTTCCAAGCAATGAGATTGTGAGGCCCAATTGACAAAAATGTTTAGAGGAATATAAAGCCTTTAATGTGTGGCGGATCCATCTAGATATCCAATTCATCGATGTTGGTGTGTGTTATCTTTCTTTCAAGTGAATTATTGATTAGATTTTATGCTCATAAAAATAGGTTTCTTGTATGTATAGGTGAGAGTTGATATGTTTAATTTTGTACAAATTCACAATTAATATTTTTAGTATAAGATGAGACATGTATATTCTGCTTGTGTAACACTTTAGGTAGTCTATCCTCTTACCTTGTGTAAATAACTTGTTACATTGTTATTGATATACTGTTATTATTACTTTCAATATTACCCTATAACACTTTACACTTTTCATTAGGAAAGGTAAGACATAAGATAATACTTTATACTTTACACTTTTAATGTTACACTTTACACGTATATATATATTAACAAATATATATTAATCAATGTGTATTAAATATTAAAGTTCTACTATAAAACTAAGAAATATTTAATATACCACTTTTCAAAAAACATACACACAGATTAATAGAGGACAAAAATATTACAAAAAAATAGGCAAATTCAAATTGTGTACTTAGATACAAATAAATATCATAATTAAAGACTTAATAACTTTATATTTTTTAATGTGTATTTTTTACTAAGTCTAATTTAGTGTACCATTTGTGCGTGCAAGATCCTGCACAATATAAAAAACGAGAACAGATCTCTCCCTTGGTGAACTTCGAGTGAGCCCGTTGAGTACCAAACACGCTGCTTGGGACAGCCCGCAAGGTACGGTGGCAACCTGGAACGGCAATGGGAGATCCTGGGAACGGAAGAATGATCCAGTAAGGATGAAAGAGGTTCCTGGAACAAAGAAGAACAAGTTAGAAGGGTGCCGGAGTGTTTTTCGGCGTATCCCATCCGACGATCTAGTCAGTCTTTGAGAAAGAGAGAGGAAGGAGAAAACACTGAGAATGTATTGTAGTAGATAGTTCGTTGTTGCATACCGGTCTTGCCTTTTGCAAGGAGTATTTATACCTTAAAATATCATGATTGCTGTCAGTGTGGTCAGTAGGTGATCATTAGGCACAGGTAGCGTGCGCATTGATTCTGATGAGGAATGTATTCTCTAATTAACTGCTCGGGGTCCCGAGCAATCAATGCTGGGTCATCGGGATGCCGACGGTACAATGTGCTCCTCTCGGGGAGGATGCAATAAATGCCCTGTATTAGGAGCATTTATTGTCTTTCATTTCTGAACCTTACCGCATTGAATGCGGTCTCATCAAGGGAATGGTGCAATTAATTGTTTGCTTTCCCAAGTCGCGTGTCAGCAACGGCATGCGGTTTGTCTGTCTTTGATGTGATATCATACGTCACGCGTCCATCCCCTATTGGCTGTGACCTCTGTATTCCAGTACGTTCTGACATTACTTGTGTAAGACGAGGTCATGATGAATAGTCTAGGCTAATGACCTGCACGTCAATATCTTATCCTAGGGTAGAGGAAGTGTCCAGGACGGGTACCTCTCGGCACCAAGGAAAGGCTCATCTCGGGGACCGAGGGAGGTTGCCGACCGAGGTACATATCTGACCGAGGACACGTGTCGGTTGTAAAATATACTGAATGTATGATCCTATATGACAGTACCTCGGGGGTGAAGACATTCATACGCCGATGGTGCTTGATCTTAGCAACAGTGTTTTAGTAAAATCGAGAACACGTGTCTTCATCATAAGATATTTCAAAAAAGTCTCATCACCCTTTACAATTTATCCGATCATTTTCTTCCTATAATGCTGTCCACCCATTCAATGTTCTCCGACGCTTCCAATGTGGGATTCTTCCCAGTTAGTTATGCACTGTTGCCATTCAACAGATTGTCAACTCTATCGCTGCGGGACAAATCTTTTCCTGAATCCTTTCTTTATTTCTTTATTATTTCTCATTTATTGAGGCTTTAAGTAACGGTCCCCCTATCAATTTTTAAAAAAAAAATTGCGTTTTTTTGCTCTGCCTCTCGCTTTCACTCTCTGTAATCTAGGCTATATGTGACGGTGCTTGCGCATGACAACTTTGGAAAGGATTCGGTGCATGTATAGTCTCTTTTTTATTTATGAACACACACATTGAGACATATTAAATCTTTGACAATATACAATTATCGCAAATATGAAATAAATACATAAGATTCAGATTTTTTGTATTATCAATTTTTTACGATAGAATTTAGATGTTTTCAATGCAAATTTGCTTTGATTCCCTCAAGTTAGATCTCCCATAAAATGGTTCTCTTGATATTTTTTTTTTCTAAATCACAAGCTGTTCTTGATTCAACAGGGACCACTTGGAAAGGATGCATCGATATTTTATTAAAGTGTAACATAAATATACTCCAATGCATTGGTTTATCTCGCATCCAAATTATGCCATTGTATACACCATCATGGGCCTAGCCCAAGTGGCTTCAGTGGGTTCAAAAAGGTTCAAGTTCTTTCTTGGATTCGAATTTCTTTGGCTACACAAACTATATAAATAAGTGAAAATTAGAAGTGCCTCCCTTTATATGTATTTGTTTGGAGATAAGTCATGCAAAAAAATTTATAAGGGGTTAAGTCCATATTTAAAATTATATATAATGACTTAAATTTATTTTTTTTATCTCAAAAATACCCTTTCTTAAAAGGAAGTTAATCTTTTGTCTCTCATATCTATCTATATCCATATATATGGTAAGAGTTTGATTATTATTAAAAAAAATTCTCTCTCTTATCTATCTATATCCATATATAGGTTATATATATATATATATAACAACATTAAAAAAAATAATAACATTCAAATACAAAAAAAAGTTACAATGAATTTGAACAGTAAAATTCAAATTTATTATAATATTTTTTTTAATTCTGTTATTGTTTGTGTTACTGCTTTTGTTAAGTATGTTACTGTTTTTGTTGAACATGTTACTACTATTATTTTTCTTAAATATTAATATTTAATGTTACTATATTTTTTTTTTTTGAATATTACTATTTTTTGTATTTTAATGGTACAATTTTTTTGCGTTTGAATTTGAGA